AGGGGGGGGGGGGGGTTATAGTCTCTTAGTATACACTGATGTACGTACCTTGATATACTCAATAGAAGAATTGGGGGAAATTATATTTTCCTCGGAGCAACCAGCATCCAGTAAATTTTCCAATTTGTTACATCTTAGTGACGCTGTGTCGTGAAAATTCTATGATCAAAATAATAGTAATGTGTAAACATAACTTCATAAGCTTTAGAGGATTGGGTGGGGCATAAACGGGTATTTTTCTGATGCTTAATGAAAATCAAAACAGACGAATGTAAATGATAACTGTTGGCCTTCTGTATAAAATCTATTTAATTTTGACAGCTATTGTGTTCCATATAAACTCACCGGCTGCATGCACCATCGACAATCTTTAGAAAAAGAGATACATTCAGAACACGTTTCTCCTTGGCAGATTTGTCCGTTAACACCATTAGACTGAATAACTGAAACACAAGAACCATGTGATAATGTCCAATTCAAAGACCGATGACTCCAATGACACCATAAGAATACCTCAAATTGAACTCTGTCTTTTGGTAATATGAAAATATGGTGTACATCACGTTAGCTTTAAACAATATCAATATTTCATTTTGTATGTTACGTTAGCTTTAAACAATATCAATATTTTATTTTGTACGTCACGTTAGCTTTAAACAATATCAATATTTCATTTTGTATGTCACGTTAGCTTTGAACAATATCAATATTTTATTTTGTACGTCACGTTAGCTTTAAACAATATCAATATTTCATTTTGTATGTCACGTTAGCTTTGAACAATATCAATATTTTATTTTGTATGTCACGTTAGCTTTAAACAATATCAATATTTCATTTTGTACGTCACGTTAGCTTTAAACAATCCGGTATAGGGTGTCAACGTAGCCTATATTTATTAATTATATGGTTCTAGTGCACTATAACCATTAGTCTAATTACAGTCTAATTAATATCATACGGGAAAGGAGTTAAATACTTTATTGTACATTGTACGATATAAGACTCGCAATACATACAGGACGATACAAGACACTCTGTGGTTGCCAGTGACTCAACTACCATCCCTAAGGGGGGTTCGTGCCCCCAGAAACAAAATAAGTATCCATAATGTTAGCTCACAATATAAAATGGTTTACAAATTATGCTGAATCCTTACAAAGGGCAATATTAAATAGTGTTAAGAGGGGGGGGGGGGGGGTCCAAACTCATCTAGTTTATTCACTGATGGCCGTTGCAGTTTCCAAATGGCAATATTGTATTACGGTTTAGACACTGGATGCTCATTGCTATCGACTTGTTGATCTATAGTAATTGTTAAATGACGAAGGAGGAAGAAATACTTCCTTTCGACTGAGTTTAGGTCAACCGACCAGGATGTTATGATTCGATACTTTGCTCAATACGCCATTAGTCCTATCTTGAAAAGTTAAGCTTAAAGGGATTGTAAAGAGGTTTTCTAAATGTTTTCATGTGTATCAGGGACACTGATAGCATCAATGTGCAACATTTTCTATCAGATGTCTGTAGTTCCTGCAATGCCACTAAGACTATGTGATGATGTGATGACATCACTAATCACAAAAGGCCTTATGTGATGAAGCATATTCAGTGATTAGTGATGTCATCAAAGAGTCGAATTGCAGGAACCACAGACATCTGCTTGAAAACTGGAATGCTTAAAGTTGATACTATCTGTGTCTCCGATATACATAAAACATGTAGAAATCCTCTTTACAATCCCTTTAATTTCCTTATAGGCTACTAGCTGTCCTGATGAGGATTGTGTATCATATACACGTGTCCTCGGCATGAGATGAGTTGTTGTCAAACGGAAAGATGAATAAGCGACATTACGATACAACATTCACCAACCGAGTATTGACGTGAAATAGAAAATGAAGTGAGCCTTGCCCAACAACGAACAACATTCAAAATGAAAGTTTGAAGAATCATAACGGGACAGTCCAGCAGAGGTATGAACTCATTAGCCCAAATTAGGTTTTGGACTCAAAAGCTTAAAGCTTAATGAAACATGGCTTACTAGATCATTTAAGTTCTAGATACTATGGAAACGGAACAAACCTTATAAAAGCTCAAAGAAGCCAATCTTAATATTCGGGGCTCTGAGCTCAGGAGCTTGAGCTGATTAAGAACTAAGCTTAAAATATATCTTGAACTCAATTTTCATATTGTATAAGCTAGATTTTTTTTTACACAAAATGAAGATTTTAAGGGGTACAGTCCTTTCCCATCGATATCACTGTTCATGATTAGAATCTGACGTCATGTTTGCATACAATTCAAAATACGAGCAGTAATTCAGTAACTGAACAACTTAAATATTATTCTTAACAGTTTCTCTGATGAATAATGGGTCTTTAATATAATAATATAGTATATTCAAGTATATTGAACCAATTCTTGCCGCGTGAATCAGACCAGGGCTTGTTAGAGAAGTTCTACTTCTAGAATTACTTTAGGCCTACTTACGATTTAAACCAAAACAAACTACGATTCCAAACGACCACATTTTCAGTGTTTTTCTCTGCAATGAGCATTGAAATATCCAAAAAATAATTCTATACTGTCACCAAAATATACTCATTGCCTTTACTCATTTTCCGGATTCAAATAATTCCGCTATTTACACCAAAATTTTATATCATCTTAACTCGCGTTTCTCCAGTGCGTAAGAAAGTTATGATAAATGCTTCTTTGATAATCGAGAATCACATTTTAGACATTAGAATGATTTAGACAGCCATATCTTATCACACACATGCCGTTGAAATTTCCGCTTGCAGGTGCGTCGAGTCAATACAATGATATCTTTAATTATTATCAGGGACTGGATAATCGTGTCAACTACATAGACGTTACCCTCAAGTCTTTTTCGCGTTTTCTCGATCATTATTTGACAGCTGTAATTTTGAACGAATTAGGAAGGATTTTGCTTCTGACTTATCTGCATGTTATTGAGCAATTAAAGACTGAAAACACTATGCAGTGTACAGTGAGGAAATTTATTTTTCTATTCCTAGATGTCGTAGCATCTCACTGTCACAAAATTTAATCAAATCAATAAACGGTTTTGATTTTCTTAATTGTAGACGAACCAGACGTTTGTATTCATTCTGAAAAGTGTAAGAACTGGTGCCAATGAGCCAAGATTAAGCGTGGAAATTAACTACATCATTTTAATGGATTGCAAAACAGTAAAATGGACAAAATTCTTATCAAAAAGATGACCAATTGTCCACTCCCCATTTTACCCAGCCTGTTCACGTGTCGAGATAACGATATCGTATCCAATATTTAACGGTTTGAAATTTTTCATCAATCTTTACTGAAGATGGAGTCAATACGGGTAGTTTTAGTGTTCTGTGTACTGGCCATCACTGCTTCCTGTGCCAGTGTTTATGGTGATTTTCCATTAAAACCATGTAAAGCTAACAGTACGTGTTCTTGTACGAACGTAGACGGGTATTACGATCTGCACCCTTTAGCTAACAACAACAATACACCACAGTAAGTAAGGAGGTTTTCTGACGTCATCTCCGGTTTAAGGCATTCTATAGTGACAGATCAAACTATTTGAGTTTTGACGTCATCAATACCGACAGAAGTCTGTTATATTTAAATATAGGCCCAACACACTTTTCTTGGTGGGGGTATTGTTGGTGAAATAGAGGCTAAAATCGATATCGAATTGGGTCATCCAACTCTACCTTTAATTCATGGGTCTTGGGGGTGAAACAGACTGTAATAAATAGTTTAGGTCATTATATCGACCTTCCCTTTAAGGACAGATAAATAAATCGATAAACAAGATAACAGTTTGGTAGTCAGATGATAAATTTAGACACAAGATGAACATCTTGTTACTGTGTTATTTTGGAATATACCTAGTTTCCACTATCAGTGGGGATCCTTTCACCCCTCGTCCTCTGGACCAATGTGACCCGGACTCGACCTGCTCCTGTACCAACAGCCAGGGCTACATAGATTTACACCCCGTGGCTAATAGTGATCGAAAACCACAGTACGTTACTTATTTTGATTTACTACAATATACGATTAATATAATTTTGTTCATGGTTAAGAGCTTTTCTAGATGAACCTTTGAAAAAAGCAACTATACGTCAACATAAGCAGAAAAGTAGGACTAAAAAATCAATTTAATTCTTAGGCTAATCCCGGGGAGAAAAAAAAGGCACACAAAAGTCCATTTCATTTCATTAAATCAATCAATCAGGTACAGAACAGTAGGACAAAATAAATCAATTTCATTTCATTAATTCAATAAGGTGCAAAACGGTACCTCCATTTCTAACAATTTCAGTGCGTCTTTTTAATGTATTTTTAGTTTCACCAACGTACAAGATACCCGAGGTACTTTTAGCTATTCCTATAATCCTTGCTATGGTTTTGATGAAGGTGGATCAGGCTGCACCGACGCTGCGGTAAGTTGCTCTTCCCGCACTCATATCTGAATGCTTTCACGCCGTGTGATTAGCTTTTTAAGATCTTGTGGAAATATTTGAATTCTAACTGTTTATCTGGAAACGTTTGATTGGTTGTTATTGTGACTGCAATAAGATCAACGAAATAGAGTTATTTTACAGTAATGATTGTCGCAGGTTCGACCATTCAAATTAACTGACTAGAATAACAGCTTGTTGCATCAAGGGTCGACTTCAAAAACTCCTACACCCTTGACAAAGCATGATTACCCATGTTATATTGCTTCTTTGAACGCAGAACTTCAATGATATAATTCATGTATTGTCCTATTTCCAGATTTGTCAGAAAGATTTGCAAACTGGTCAGTATTTTGCTCTAGGCTATGCTAATTCCATGGTGTCTATTTCCGATTCAGAATACGGCCTTATATTCCAATACACTGCACAGACAGACAAAAATAGGTAATGGAAAATACATACCATCTTATATACGAGCCTGTTCTGACATTATTTCAATGCCTCATTGCACACTTCATGGCGTTCCTCGTCCTCATTCGACCAAATTGGAGAAGAAAAGTAAGGCGTAAAACTCCATTTCATTTCATTACCAGTCGAAGTACAAAAATACGGAAATTAAGCTCCATTATTATTCGGGGGGTTAACGTCAGCGATGCAGGGCATGGCAACTATTTTGAAACACCTGATACCAATTCAGGTTTTACATAGATAAAAATGCTTATTTGATAAATTTATCAGAATTATTACATTCTATATCAAGTTCAAGCATAGATATTTCGTTCCGTTTTTTTACGGTGGGCTACTTCTCGCATTCAAGATTTATCAAGCATGAATAACGAATCATGTTAACCCATATTTGTGTTTGTTTTGTTCCAGGACAGCTGAAATCATTCTGCAATGCGATCCGAGTAAGGAAGGTGAGCTGAAATTCCAAAATGAAGGTCCACCGTTATATTACGTAAGTATACATAGTTGCTGTTGTTCTTAGCAGTCATAGACATTTTGTAAGTATGTTGTTGCTGTCTCGTGGTTCCGCAGACTCTGATATATATGTACTTTCAGCGACTTTGATTTTGTTCTCATTTCAGTATTTCAATTTATACTCCAAATACGCATGTGCAGAAAAGCCTTCGACTTCCGGTTCAACACGACCACCAACCCCAGCCCACCATATACATTCAGATCCCAAGCCTGGTCATCATTCCCGACCTCCTTTTAGACCAACTCCAACCAAGCCTGGTCGACACTCCAGACATCCAAGACCAACCAAACATCATGGACATCACACAAACCCGACCCAAGACCCGACCACATCAGTTCCATTGAAGATATTTGGTTGGCCAGCTGTAACCATCCTGTTATTGGGTATTCTGTAAGTAGACTCTATCTTTTCACTAGGATCGGGGGGTTATTGCGATCGCCTACATACTCATCTGGTGAATTGAGGCTTTTGTGGCCTAGATACGGTCTTTCGTGAAGCATTGTGACTGTGATGCTTCAATTTCAATATAGCTTGAGATGAAACCGTCGGATTTACCGGATGGACTGCCATGGAAAAAATGTCTATATGAAACCTTTTGGGTAGAAAAATGAATCGAGGCCCGTGTGCTATAGGCCGTTGTGCACTTTAAAACCCCTTCGACGTTCCTTGAAGCTCCCGCATAATCTCCTCTCTTGATGTATATTGATCGATCAAAACTACGTCCTCGAAGTTACCTTGTGGAGGAATCAAGGGCAACTGTAGCCTAGGCCTACTGGTTCGCAATTGATCATATTGACATTGTCAACAAATGCCTCTTAGTTTGTCTGCTAGTGAAGCCGCTATATTAAGATTATTAAGGGTGTATGAGTCGGCATAGTGAAACTAGACTTTGATCAATCAAGTACTCAAGACCAATGGTTTTGAAGAGCTATCACTATCTCGCCTTTACACCATTCACGTTTCTATTTTCCAGGATTATGGTGACTATTTTATGTGGTCTTATTATTTTTGGATTATGTCTTTTTTCTTCCAAGTTCAGCTCTTCCAAGACACCAGGGCACAAAACTGAGCTGGGGCAAAATGTCAATTCTAAATACACTAGAAATTCCGACAAGGAATTTTTAAAGAACGACTTTTAGATTACACCAATATAATTCTTTATTTTTATATACATCTGATATATTAGTTGATATTCTCATAAAAGGAGGGGGGGGGGGGGCAATACCAATTTTTGTGTAGTTAAATTTACTCTTTACAGTAAAGGGACAGATTCGATCAGTTGATCAATCGTACCTTAAGTCTCGGAAACAGAAATTTTTTTTAGCTAAGCTAACCAGTAATAGTGTTTACAGCTCACCTTCAAAATTTGAGACTTCAAATCCATGTGTGTTCAGAATTATCCGCGCTTTAAAATTAAAATGACGACTCGTCTTTTCTTGAGACTCTATAATATATAAACAAGACAAATCTTGTTTTCAAACTCCCCCCTTCAAATTGTCGCACTCCCACTTCAACTAGGGTACTATGTGCAATATTTATATCGTTTTAAAGCCACTTTGTTCAGTAATTTTAGATTGTTATTAAAACCACTGTGTACAGTATTATTATGTGTTATTAAAAGAGTTTGAAGTTAATCCTCGTTTTTTTAAAAAAAATAGTATGATCTATCCGAAACATGACGTGTCGGCAGTATTGGATAATCTTTTAAAGCTACCAATACGTAGCAAGCAAAAAGCTTATACTAGCCTAATAAAATGTGTATTTAAAATGCTGTAGGTGAAATCCATTAAAAACTGTATTCAATTATTGACTATGAATGTCATAAGAGAAAATGCTAATATACTGCAGATAAAAAGAAGAACTATACAGAAACTTACAACTTTCGTGAAGTATTGTGACTGTGATGCTTCAATTTCAATATAGCTTGAGATGAAACCGTCGGATTTACCGGATGGACTGCCATGGAAAAAACGTCTATATGAAACCTTTTGGGTAGAAAAATGAATCGAGGCCCGTGTGCTATAGGCCGTTGTGCACAAAGCAAATATTCAAATTCCTGAAGGAAATATCAGGCAATCATTTACCTGATTGTAAAGAGAAGGTCTTTGGAAACCTAATGGCAAATAAATAACAGAAACCAAGGGATGACCTCGATAAACAAACCCGAAACCATGGTAGAAAACAATAAAAAAGAGAGAAAAAGTGATTGAGTGAAAATATATACGCATTCCGAGGAATTAAACCCAAAAATTTACAATCGGTTAGAACATTTTCGGATTGAAAAACATTGAATTATTTGGACAAAATTGTTGATTTTTGCTCAGTTAGATACGATCGAGTAATTTCGAAAAAACTGTAGCTCCAAGGTTTTGAATGTACCGTCTGATTAGACCAATTATCAGCTATCAGTGTAAATCAGGTTGAACTTAATCAGTTGTTGCTAAACATAGTACGGGATCTTTCAAGGTATGCCTGGAGTCCGAAAGTGTCGGAAAACTTAAATAGTGTTAGCAGTCTTAAAGGGACACATTCGCATTTTTTTTTACCAATTGTATCATAGTCTCAGAAACGGGACTTTTTTTTTAGCTAAGCCAATCAGTAAAAGTGTTCATAGCTCACCGTCGAATCAAATCCATGCGTGCCCAGAATTATCCGCGTTTGAAAGTTAACAAGACGAGGCGAGAAAAGACATATAGATAGGACGTGAAATTTATAGTTTGGCGATTTTTGAAGGAATTCTGCGATTTTCGTACTTTTGATACTTCTGAAGGCTATTTACATATATTCAAGACTGAAATAAACCCTCTAAAATCTGCCCCTTTAACTATTCGGGATCTTTCCGACTTGACTAAAATACAATGTCCAGTTTGGTTTGGGGGCAATTTGACTAATTTTATACTCTCAAACAAAAAGTGTCGCTAAATAGTCTTGATTTTCATGACAGCATTGCTGAATGCAGCTGCCATAGACAAGACTGGATAATATTTCTACTTTGTTAGCATTTTTGTTTGGAGATTATTTCGAATCTGTGCGTGTTTCCGCCATATTTGTAGAAATAACGATCACTTCTGTACCAAAGTTGAGAAGTTTCACAAAAGACAGCCACCAAAATGAGCGACCGAGAGGTAAGAGATCGAATATTGATGCTGAAATTCAAAGCATTAAATGAATCTGGAAACTGATTTCTTTATTTTGTATTCTTGCTGCCTTTTTGACTGGATATGGCGACTGATATTTCTTTGTTTACATTTCATTTGTCTCTTTGATTTACATTTAGAATTAAGCGAGTCTGCCTGTGACTTGCACCACTCCGGTTTCTATTTCATTAGTCCGTACAGCCAAGATATCTTGATCACTTGCAGGGCCCATAGTTGATTCACAGCAGCGTCTTTATTTTTGTCAGTATGTTGTGTGATTTTAAAGGGCTCTTTATTCGGTCTAATCTAATGAAAACTTCACTTGTTTTGTATTCTATCAGTTCACACTAGGTCTAGTGATATCTTAATATTTCCTTTTCAGAATGGTGCTTCCCCAGCAAGATCTGTTATCAAATCTGAGAGTGGTGGATCTCGAAGATCTAAGTCAGCCAGTAGATCCAGGTCACGATCTAGGTCACCAAGGAGAAGTAACAGAAGAAAATATTCTAGATCAAGGTATTGTAACCTTATTCCACAATATGAGCCATATAAATTGGTACCGTTCTGGTAGTTCAATATGAAATACTTGCATTATGGCCTAAGCTTTATCATTCTGCACCTGACATTTTTAACCACAAACATTGCTTTGTCATTTTTCTAAAATTGTGTCTGCAACTATTTTGTAGCTTGCATTGTAATATTAATCAGTAAGCTTTCTGCCAGTCTACAATAGGCCTACTTAATCAAGAATAGAACTTCTTTGAGTGGAACTTCCTCAAGTGGATAATGAATTACTGGACACCAGGAAGCATTGCTAACAATTACTTACCTTGCTACATTTCGACAAATGTAGTGTTGTCTTTATCAAGCAATGATATAACTGTTATTTTTTTTAGGTCAAGGAGCAGAAGTCGAAGGTATTCCCGCTCTCGTTCCCGATCACCACCACCAAAATACAGGAGACGTAGATAGTAAGTTGGTTATCCCAAATCTAAACAGCATTATTTTAGTCTGTCTATAATGGCCTAATCTAGTGCTGAAAAGTTAAAAGATTGCGTTAAATTTGATTTAATTACATTTTATAAGCAAATCTCATTTCATTTTATTTACAAGGTTAAAGATGGGTTCCCTTATTTTCATTTATGAAAATGAAAATGCTAATACTTATATGATCGGAAAGTAGAGGTGTTCTAATGACTTGAAAAATTAGAAGCAGCAGCAGAATTCCAATGAGTGACTGATAAAGAAAGGTCTAATAGTTTTTTTTTGTTTATCCAGACTGGTTGGTTAAAATTCTTAATGATATGCAATGAGAACATAATGATATGATTCAGAATATATGATAATTCATTAGAAACACCAATTAATCAAATAGTTTGCTCAATTTGACACTAAAAAATAAGGAAACCCATCTTTTAATGCAGAAGGCAATAAGTGTCTTGAAGCTGTCTATTCCTCCTGTTAGTGATGCAGGTAAGAGGGACTGACATGGAAAAAGCGTGTGCTACAATCTGTGCACACAATCCCTCGACAGTTGGAAATCAAAAAGGAGCAGGCTAATGTTGCTGTCCTGGCAAAATTTCCCTCATGGCACCCTGCATGGCGTTGCCTGTCTTCATTAGCCCACAAGGTGCAGAATGGCACCCTGCATGGCGTTGCCTGTCTTCATTAGCCCACAAGGTGCAGAAAAGTAGGACGTAAAACACTATTCATTTCATTTCGAAGCTGTCTAATGCAATATAATGGTAAATTTGTTATTTTGTAGCTCAAGAAGTAGAAGTCGATCGCGATCACCAAGAAGATACAGAAAGAGATTTAACAGACGTGGTAGAAGTCGAAGCCATTCACCAATGTCAACCCGTCGTAGACATGATGGCAACAGAGTAAGTGGTTTTTAACTGTTTATAAATGATATTATTTTAAGTTTCTGTTTATTGATGTATTTCCTCATGTAAAGAATTCATTAGCTGCAACCAATGTTTTTCCAGTATCTTTTGAATTTTGGGTTTTGCTTTGCTTTTCATTCTTGGCAGTGCTTGTATATATTCTTGATTGTTTTTCAGGATGATCCAGAGCCTACATCATGTTTAGGAATATTTGGATTGAGTTTGAATACACAAGAGAGAGAATTAAGAGATGTATTCGGTAGATGTGGATCCGTGGACCAAGTACAGATAGTTTATGACAGACAAAGTGGAAGATCACGAGGCTTTGCTTTTATATATTTTAAATCAGTAGAGGATGCAATTGAGGTAGATTTTTAGTAACTAAATAAACTGTTCAGTACATTAGGCAGGGGTACAAATTGTTTCTTCAACACTTGGCTTAGTCACTTTGGCATTCATTCCCATTTTGAATGAATTTAGCATATTTTATGTTAGTGACATCATCAAACACTTTAGTGGAATTGCAAGAACCACACGTCTGATTGGAATGGTGAATATTGATGCTATCAGTGTCCCTGATACACATAAGAATTACTTAATTATAGGCTAAAGAAAGGTGTACTGGAATGGAGATAGATGGGAGGAGAATTCGGGTTGATTATTCTATAACCCACAGAGCTCATACACCTACCCCTGGTATCTATCTTGGCAAACCTACAGAACCATCATCGTAAGTATTCTTCCTACTCCTGATCAGTGAGCACACATACTTTGCTGGTAGGAGGAAGTGATATTGAAAAAGCGTCTAGCCGTTTGTATGAGACAATAAACTCTGGCCCCATGTGCTGCAGACTGTGCATGTTGAAGACCCCCTCACCAGTTGGAAATCGAAAAAGAGCCTAATATATTGCAGAGATTCAAGGTGTTCACCTCTTTATCATTTCACTAATGAAGAAAATTTCTTTTGCAGACGTTATCGATCACCGTCTCCATATAACCGTGGTTACAAGAGAAGATCACCCTCACCATATCGTCGACGTTCCCGTTCTAGATCCAGATCCTATTCTCCTCGTAAGTTTTAGACATTTTATTCTGTATCTTTCATTCTTTTCATTCAAACTGGTTAGAGGAGCAGACATGGAAAATGTGCATAGTTGTACATTCAACTTGGTTACTCAGTCAGGGTATCTAGTTTCAGTTGTTTGGATCTAACTAATGGTTTTTCCCCTATCAGTGATGCCTGCTGCTAACATTGAAAGAAAGCCTTGTGTCCATAGAACAATAAACCTATGCTAAAAGCTGAGCATTTCAAGGATATCCCATCATAAATTTAAAATTGATTAAGATGGCCTGTTTTTAAGTCCAGCCAGGTCAGATGTTTTGGTGATGATCGGTATAAAGTATAAAGAATGTATACCTTTAGTGTCATTAGGTATGTTTTGCTCTTCAGACGGAAAAATACCTTCTGCTGTTACGTCAAGTAGTAAATTAACGATTAAACAATCTAATTAATACACAACTTTAAAATAGTTTGTTTCATTTATTTCTGTGGGCCATTTCGCTCATAGATCAGATGATATTTTCTACCAAGGATTAAAATATTGAGCACTAACTGTACTGTGAACGAATGGTTTAAAATTAGGAGTTAGTATGTTTAACAGCGGGCTTGATTAAATTTTGAGACAATTCTCTTCTTAAGATCACATATGATTTAAAGAATGAGTGAATATACCCACAGATATTCAATGAAACGAAATATTTCAAACTGTATGTTAATGAGATTGAAATGAGTTCAATGTTTATCAATATTTTGTTTGTTTTATTTTTTCTGTTATTTAGGTCGTTACTGAGAGTTCAATCATCCAGTTGTCTTGACTTGACTATATATTATAATCTATAGTTCATATCTCACAGTTCCTGTTCATATTTCTCTCTCATTTCATTTAGTGCTCACACTTAACTTTGTTACTGTCTGGACAATTGTAGCTTGTATATGCGATAAATTGATTATCCAGTGACTTGTTGAGCATTTCCTCATTTATCATCTTGGCCACAGTTTTTTTAACCATTCTCTGGTAGAATTTTCCACATTGCGTAAAAATCATCTGCATATTTTGATTTTAAAGGAAGTTTGATTCAATCTGGCAATTTCCAAATTTCTTATGACAGTTATTAAAGAAAATATATAATATCAATTGGCACTGTTCCAATTTTCTATCACACAGCTGTGGTTCCTGCAATTCCACACAAAAGGAGTGTTTGAGTGAAATATGCTTAATCATATAAGACATATGCTATTAGTGATGTCAAACAAAAAGTTGCTTTGATATCAAACAAAAACTGTGGCCATTCATTGTCGTTTTATTGAACAAATTTTTCTAGAATTATTTTGTGAAATAATATTGATGATGTAAAAAATAGAATTTAATGATAAGCTTGTAACCAGCAAGAGACTGTTTTATCATTCTTTTAATGTTTTTGTACATTTTCAAAATTTTGTTGGAATTCACCATTGTTATTGTACACTTATGGACATAAGTTCTACCTTTTTCATTTTCCCTGAAAACCAAATATTAATTTGATCTTGTTAAACTTTGGACTAGGTGTGTTAAGAATGAACAAAAAAATGTTGCCTTAAATGTATTGCCTTTCAAAAGCATCAATTAAAAGGGATTGTGAAGAGGTTATCTTATTTTTTTATGTGTATCTTGGACACTGTTTGCATCCATTCACACCATACCGATTTTCAGTCAGACTTCCAATTGCAAATTCCACTAAAACTAAGTGTTTGATGATGTCACTAATCGCAAAATATGCTTGTATTTGCATAAGGCCTTTGCAATTGGTGACATCGTCAAACATTTAGTTTTAGTGGAATGGCTGGAATCACAGATGTCTGATTGATATATTGGAATGGTAAAATGGATGCTATGGGTGTCCCTGATGCACCTAATTTTTATTCAGAAAAACCTGTTAACAATTTCTTTAAATGGATATAGTTCTCTAAATATTGACTGTAGCAACTTATAGACCTAAATATCTGCCATCAGTATTACTTTTCAGAATGGAAATGATGTTTGGTTTGTCTACAATATAGTTTAAAATAAGCTTAAATTTCAAATCCATCAAGTGATACAAGATAGTTATTTTCTAAACACACCTTTTCCATTGTAATAGTCTGAATTGTTTATTTTAGACTCTTATAAGAGAAAATAAAAAGTTGGAAATGAATTTAATTTTTTTTTTAATTATTAATTTTAAAGGCATCAAGAAAGAAAAATGAAGCTTTTTGGTTCATGAAAATGAAGACTAAGAAAACCTTTCAGGAAGATTCTTGGTTTCATGAAGAATAACCTTTGGTTGCGAAGATATTTGGACAATTTGGGTGGGAAACTTAAAAAAAACAAAACTGAAGCTTAATACACGAAAATTGAAGAAAAGAAAATTGAAAATCAAGAAAGAAAAGTAGAAGAGCCTTTGCTTTGCTTGAAAACGGAAGAATGAAAACGAAGAAAATCAAATCTTTGGTAATTCTTTGTCTTGGAATTTAACCTATATTCGCATTTTGATTTCCGTCAAGTTCTTAACCCATATTAGCCCTTTACCATTTACATCTAATCTCCCCCTATTGGGTTCACCTCTTTCAACCTTGGGTCCACTTTCCCCCCCCCCCTTGATACAAGGACTGTGGGTGGTGAGGGAAGATGATGTTGTCTTTTCAGGATGTTGTTGTTTTAAAGTGATTTAAAATTTAGTTTTTGGTGAAATTTTAGGTGAGTTTGAATTCTAAGTCTTTGTATTGTGACCATGTGACAAAATTCAATTAAGTTTTTGTAAGTTACAGTGCCAGTGGAAAATTTGAAATTTGGCATTAACGCCAGACTGCCAGATAGCAAGGGCTATGGCATCAGAATTTTTCTTCCCTTGGGGTATTCAAACACACAGCCAATTAGACGCCAGTAAATTTTTCAGACTGATGTCAAATCAATTAAGATTTGTGGTACAAATATTGGAGTTCATATCTCAGATGTCAATTCCAAAAATTTCAGTGTTTGATGGTAACCTAAAGGGATAGGTTCACCATTTTGGGGGGTCGATTTGGGTCTTGAATAAATGTGAATAGTTGCAGACGCGCATGGATTTGAAGGCTCAAATTTCGACAGTGAGCTGTGGACACTATTACTGATTGGCTTAGCTAAAGGTTCAATTGGTCAAATGGATGGGGAAATTGTCCCTCTAAGAACTGAGTGACTTGAGTGGTGTCCTTCAATAATTTGTCTTTTTCGTTTTTAGTCAACGAGCAGTAAATGGTATGGTATTGACCACGGTCAAGAGTTTTCATCAGCTAATGGAGTGAATAGGTCTACATACATACAAGAGTATATTTTTTTTTTTCTTGCAAAATATTTTTTTTTTCAGTACAAAATAAACTTTAAAAACTATATGTGACTTGTTCTGTTGTTGAAGCTACAGTCAAGTCGGTCTTCATTAGCCCAATTAGGTGCACAAAAGTAGGATATAAAACTCCATTTATTTCATTTAGTCTAGCAAAGTCATACACATCCATTTATGACTCAACAGAAACAAGAGCAGTCTAATTTGATTTAGGGGTAGAATAAGTAGTAATTAGCCAGACTTGACTTGTTTATCTTACTACTTATCTTACCTTAAAGTAAATTGAATTGCTTCTGTTGAATTCTACCTGGACAATAATGTTGGGGTCCCTGTGTTTAATGGGCAGTAATTAACTTTTCCTGGAGGTTGGATATCCATAAATAGTAGGCTAATGTTATGACCTTGCCAAAATTTCCCTCATTCCACACAATTATTGTGGCTTGCTTTCAACCTTATGTAGTCAAACTGAAACTGAAAGATGAATGCATTCTCTCTCTGCCAAATCAAGGGCAGTAACTGATATGTTAAACTTTCACCCATTCAACTCATTAGATACCAAACTGGCATTGTAGAGTGAAGATGTGTTAAAAGGAATGTGAAGAGGATTTCTAAATTTTGTATGTGTATCAAAGATGGATGTCTGTGGTTTCTGCAATTCCACTAAAAGTAAGTGTTTGATGACGTCACTAATCGCGAAGGGTCTTAAATGATAAAGCATATTTAGCGAATAGTGACATCATCAAACAGTTAGTTTTAGTGGCATTGCAGGAACCACAGACGTCTGATTGAAAATTGGAATGATGCAAATTGATGCTATCAGAGTCCCAAATAAATACTTTCAACAGATGGCTGAATAGTTTCCAAGATTGTACAGCAATGATGGTCCAAATAATTTTAAAAAAAAACCCTTCTTGTTACATGAAAAAAATTAAATTTTCTTTTAAAATGGAATAATGTTATAAAGCTAAAAGCAAATTTAGCACATTTAAAGAATACATATATATATATATAAATAAATAGATTCAGATCTACAATACTCTTAATTAAGGCTCCAGCCTTTTTGAAATAGCACACAAATTGACTAATCAGATGGCTTAAACACTGAAGTTACCTTAAGATCGGGAAATGCAGTAATTTAATTGGAAAATAACCTGAACACATCAATATTAGAGATTGACCAATCAGATGAGAGGAAGACAAGTTATCTTAAGGTTAACAAATGCAGTAATCTGATTTGTTAATCCTAAATATATAATCAATTTTAGAGATTGGCCAATCAGATGTCAGGAAGACTGAAGTTATCTTAAAATCCAGAAATGCAGTAATCTGATTTGTTAATCCTAAATATAAAAACAATTTTCTAGATTGACCAATCAGATGGCAAGAACACAGAAATTATCTTAAGATTAGGAAATGCAGTAATCTGATTTGTTAATATAAAATCAATTTTCGAGATTGACCAATCAGATGGAGCCAGTTTCAGTAATTATGGTCCCAGATCCAAGCTTATATGATAAAAATATGAAAGTATTTTAAAGATATTTATGCACATGCAGAAGAAGAGTCCATTATTTCCGGATAGATTAGCTGAACCCTGCTTCAAGGTTACAGCTCAATGGGTTGTGACCAGTGGAAGCATCAGACCTGAAACCAAAAAACAGCAACGCTGTGAAGGCGTCTTGTGACACTGGTCGTATGTTTATATTTAATTTTAGACAACCCAGGTATCAGATTTTAATCTGAAACATGACACAGATAGCTACCATCAAGCTATACTCTACCAGCTGGTGTGCATAAATAGCTTCAAAGGACTTACATGGAATGTCACCAAAAAAACAAGATAAAAAAATTTCTTAAAACCTCTAGGCAAGATATTTCCCTTCCAAAATATAGCGAAAAGTAAAAATAAAAACTGGACAATTATGGCTCAAATCAATGCAATATTGTTTAGTGATTATGACTCAAAGTCAAGTATGAATTATCACCCTGGAATGTTCTGTGATGTAAATGCTTTTATGCAATTCATGAAATCCTTTTCCTATCTCCTTCAAGGAAGAGCACCCATCAACAACCAATCAATAATAAGCATAATCTTATCCATCTATTACATACTAAGTTCTCATACCATGACGGCAATAACCCCTAGCAGCGATTTGATTGGATCGTACGCAGCAAATCAGATTTGACAGAAAGGCTTTCAATTTTATGGCTTTATGTTCACAAAATTTCTGATTGGCTGCATTTGCTATTGTACAATCCAATCAAATCGCTTCATTTACTAAACTCCACGCTACAAGAAAGGTGACTATTGTAGTCAAGGTATAAGTATGAATTTCGTGACATCATGAAGATGAATCATATCCAGTCACGTCTGAAGCTATGAAAATGCCTGACACAACATGACACTGCATTAAGCTTCTAAGCAAGCTGCTGGAAAAGCCACACGGAATAAAGCTAATTTGAAATATATTCCTCCTAGTGATTGGATCACTTCAAATTCGTCTCTCTCCGTGTCGTACGTGTTTAATTTCATAATCATCTTATTTTCAACTTGTATCAGACTCAGAAAATAGATAAACTTTTCGTGTATAGTAACAAAAGATGACAGCGATCCAAAACTAGCTGGCGTGGGAGTTAATTCTGTCCATTGATTCACCTCAACATCATACACTTCATTTAGTAAAGAGTCTGTAAAGCCTCCTCGACTACCACATTTCCCACCAATCACAAACAACTTGTTGCCAACGGTAACCATACAATGCCCTTGTCTTGGATACAACATCTCTTTGAAAGGCTCCCATCCGACTTCTCCGATTTTCAATTTATAAGCAGACATTAGAGGTACAGGATCACTTGGGTCTGCACTTATTCCACCAGTTACATATAAATGATTCTCATGGTATGTCATAGCTTGAGAAAAACTGGCTTGGACTAGATCTGGAAGTGATGACCATATATTTGTAGCTGGGTCGTATGATTCCACAGTTTGAAGAATCACCTCTGTCTCATCGCCGTCTTCAAACAGATGATTGACGCCACCGCAAACATAAAGACGAGATCCAGAACTACACATAGCTCCTGATGTCCGAGAACAGTTCATCGATGCTAGCTCAGTCCAGGATCGTGTTTTGACATCTAATCGAAACATTCTTTTGGTGCTGCAATAATCAATCCCATATCCTCCAACAGCGAACATGTAATTGCCAATTTGAGCAGAACTAGCATATTCAAAATCAATGTCCAACCCTACCTCACCAAGTTGTTCATAACATACCTTCTTCTCCGTGAGATCATAATGACATAATTCATTCCGTTCTTCATAGAAAGTCATGGCCGTAATTACATCCCTGGATCCCCGAGCCATGAAGCGTTCTTCATTACGCAGACACTGTGATGGAATGTCATTTAAATAATGCTTGGCTTCTTCAACTGCGTCTTGAATTTCAGGCCATTTCAATAACGCGTCTGGCATCATGTCTACTCCTTCCGGTTCCATCAGTGGGAATCGAATTAATCTTAGTAATGGCAAGAGATAAGCTTCACGCTTTTCCAGATCGGCTTTCACCCACTTGTGGCAAATGTACAGAAGATAATCCTCAGTGGTGTCGATATAGACATCTTCTTTCAGAAATGAAGACAGCAATTCCAAAGACAGATTTTCAAAAAAGGTTGGAGTTTTGGCAAGCTCTGGCAAATTGTTTCCAAGGAAACGGAAAATATCCCATCTTAGATCACCGAGAAAGTATTTATCCGATAAAGTCAAGACTTCAGTGTAATTATCCAATCCTAAATGATGTACTAAAAATTTACAACAGACTTCAACCAACCATTCAACTTGAAAAAATCGTGCCGCTTCCAAAATGTCTTCTATATTAGTGGGCTCAATGGTGACGAATCCATGATAGAAATAATCTAAGATGACTGAAATTCCGGCAGGACTGATTCCTTTCAACTCAATCACGTCTTGTTCCTTTTCCTTCATATTATGACTAAACATGGCTGAGAAATAGTCGCTGGCCGCAGACAAAACCTCTCGATGTGCTTTAAAATTAGCATTCCCACATTTCAACTTGATGTCACATTTATAATCATACATAATGGCCGACACCTTCACAAATTTAGCGTTGATGTACTTGATTTTATTTCTAGAGATGATGATAGTGTCCTTGACCTCATCGACCTGAGCTGTTGTACTGCCCGACGACGCCATATTTCTAAAAAGAGAAAACAAAAGTAGAGAATTAGTACACTGCAAATATTATTCTCTGTGTGCTCTATTTTAGGGCATTGATTTTAGTCTTGAATATATGTAAATAGTCTTCAGAAGCACTAGAAATGTACGAAAATCTCATGATTCCATCAAACATATCTTAAACTCGTAATTCCTTTTCCTATTTCTATAGATGTCTTTTCTACATGGCAGTGTCTCAAGAAAAGATGACTAATCCTGGACACAAATGGATTTGAAGGTGTGAACACAATAACTGACTGGCATAGCTAAAAAGAAATTCCTTTTTCTGAGACTAAGGTACAATTGAAAAAAAACCTGTGCATCTGTCCCTTTTAAGTGGTTGTGTGCTTCATAATGTATTTTATATAAAGGGTCCCTTATAATGTATGTTTTTCTTTAAGCAATTTGGGAATCTTTAGTGAAATTTAATGCAAAACGTGCTATATAACACCTTTATAAATTTACAAACTGTTTGTATATATCAGTCTAGTCTAAACCTCAAAAATCACTGATCTGAAAATAATCATCTTTAATGGCAGATTTTTCACTTATATTGTCATTTAGAATTATAAAAGAAACTCAGTCTGAATAAAGAATGAGTCAAGTGTTTGTACTATTGACCTAGAAACTATAGTGTGGTTTGTATTATTGATCAACTTTCATAGAATATTTTAAATATTTCTTGTATTGCTAATAACAGTTTTGGGTTATTTCATATTTAATAGTTGGCCTACAGTATTTTTTGTGGGAGGGAGGGGGGGGGGGGATATTTTATTGAATTATTTAGGTCACATCCAAGTTACAGATATTCTTATTGCATATTTAACAGTTCGTTGTGAACTTATTATTGTTCATATTAGTGTCAGTCCACAATGTCAAGTCCCCATAAAATTTACCTTAAAGGGATTGTAGTGAGGTTTTTCTAAATTTTTTATGTGTATCAGGGACACTGATAGCATCAATTTACTCCCTTCCAATTTTCAATCAGACGTCTGCGATTCCTGCAATTCCACTGAAACTAAGTGTTTGATGACGTCACTTATCGTGAAGTTCCCTTTGTGATGAAGCATGTTTTGCAATTAGTGAATTTTTGTGGAATTGCAGGAACCATAGACATCTGATTGAAAATTGTATGTTGCAAATTGATGCTATCAGTGTCCCTGATACACATTTCAAAATTTTAAGAAAACCTCTTTACAATCCCTTTAATATATTATACAAAGCACTTATGATTGTAATATAATATATACCAGTAGTTAGAAATATCTAAACAGAGCCTAAAAAAATCATATTGTCACATGATTCAAGTTCTGTTTTAATATTTCTATCACTATACAACTGATGTATTGAGAACTATTTTAACAGTGGTATATCTATATCTCTCTACAATTGATGTATTGAGAACTATTTTAACAGTGGTATTTCTATATCTCTCTACAATTGATGTATTGAGCACTATTTTAACAGTTGTATATCAATATCTCTCTACAATTGATGTATTGAGCACTATTTTAACAGTGGTATATCTATATCTCTCTACAATTGATGTATTGAGTACTATTTTAACAGTGGTATTTCTATATCTCTCTACAATTGATGCATTGAGCACTATTTTAACAGTGGTATATCTATATCTCTCTACAATTGATGTATTGAGCACTATTTTAACAGTGGTATATCTATATCTCTCTACAATTGATGTATTGAGAACTATTTTAACAGTGGTATTTCTATATCTCTCTACAATTGATGTATTGAGCACTATTTTAACAGTGGTATTTCTGTATCTCTCTACAATTGATGCATTGCGCCCTATTTTAACAGTGGTATATCTATATCTCTCTACAATTGATGCATTGAGAACTATTTTAACAGTGGTATTTCTATATCACTCTACAACTGATGTATTGAGCACTATTTTAACAGTGGTATTTCTATATCTCTCTACAACTGATGTATTGAGCACTATTTCAACAGTGGTATTTTTATATAGCTCTACAATTGATGTATTGAGCACTATTTTAACAGTGGTATTTTTATATAGCTCTACAATTGATGTATTGAGAGCACTATTTTAACAGTGAAAATTTTTGTTATTATAATTAATAGTTATGACTTATGATAGTCGATACTAAATGATTCAATCCACTAATTTAAGTCACCATGAAATAAGCTTACGCAAAGAACTTTGGAAATATATAAATCCCAAAATTTTTCCCTTACAAATATCTTTAATGGTCTTATGTATAATCAAATTTGATCAATTGCTGAATTAAAGATAAAATATGTCATTTGTGTTACCTTGTCTCAATATTATCTTCCTTTGTTGAAGGAGGTGGGTTTTCCCCTTCCATTTTACAGTCAAATCCTTCACAAATAATGAAATCCAGAAATGAGTCAATTAGAAGCACATTGAAAATTCCAATCAATCCTCAAATTAGACAATTTCCAAGCTACCGGTATGTCTGAGCCAAATCTATATCTAATTTCCAATGAAAACTAATAATATTAAAGAAACAAATCTACACTTTACAATGCACATTGCCAACCAGGGTAACAGGTGTAGGAATGTTAAATCGAGATATCAAATGATTTAAACTGGCTCAACAGTAAAAGGTCACCCTTCCTTCATCATGTTCATTTTACCAAACCTGTTTTAATAGCTGAACTTTAAAGACTAACTGACTAACGCATTTTTGTCTGGTGTCATTAAACTAATAGACCTCTTGTAAATTTCAGGGTTGTTGATCTGGTTGTGCTTGCCAGTCATGTCTGGCTGAAGTTTAAAAAGCAACTAATCTCCATTGACAAACTAATTGGACTTGGGAGTTGAAGCATGGCTGTTGATTTAGTTTTTGCCATCATGTCTGGCTGAACTTTAAGATGTTTTAGGGTTCTGGAACCTACAGATAGTAAGCAGAATTGATGATCTACTTTCTAGTGTAGGCCTACACTGACAGTGTTATGAGCCTACATCTTCTGATTCCCAATGATCAAGGAGTTTTTAGTCTATGAATGTGATTTGACAAAAGTGATAAGATCCTTTAAGTTAAGGAGCTAGAAGAAGTCATAGTGGGTGTGTGGCCTAAATATTAAACCAACAAGATAGCAGGTTTCTATGAGTCCATATCTCAATTTTGAAACTTCGTGGGAGTTTTTAAGGAGTGGCACTTAAACTGTCAATTAATAAACTGACCTTATTTCTATATCCGTTTTTTTTATTTTTTGAAATAATAAAATCCCTGCAAAGTGTTGAGCTTAATTAAGGTCTTAATAAGCATTCCTAATCTCTAAGTAAGTCAGCTTTTGACTGCTGTAGACTAAAACAATTCAAGCTTAAATTATTAAATTATTCTTTTTAGATTGACCTAATTCAGAGTTTAAATTCAAATCAAAACTTTTTTCTTTCAAAAATAATTGATGTAGTGGGAAGACATCAAAATAGGATTGGCTACATTCAAATTTATTCATAATGCTACACTCCAATTCATTTACAATGATATAAGTGCCGGTAACAAAGATGCAATGGTTGTAGGCTTTATTGACCTTTACAATAAAGACTGAGGCCGAGGGTCCGCAGTGAACGGAGAAAATCTTCAAGTGGTGAGGGTGGGGGGCTGACTGCGCCATAAACCGTTAGTTACAGGTGGTTGAACTTCAAAGAAGAAGCCGATGGCGGTGAAGGCGAAAAAGGTGTGTAGGTCCTGTCAATCGAATTTGCTAAATCCAAAGTGCAACGGTTGTTGTTTGGGTTAATTCTTGTCAGACCTGTAATAAAATGTGTAGTAACAATAGAAAAAGACATATTTACCGGTTTTCTTGCTTGACGACCCCGACAAGACTTACTTCATGTCAATAATGTTACCTGACCAGGTTAATCAACTTTCACCGGAAGTCGGCAGATTGGAGGTTATTTTCGTCAAATTTTGGAATCAGACCACAAATGATTTCTTCATTCTCGATGCTATCTCTTGCCTTTAGTAGTTAGGCACTCTCTCTTTGTAGGGTAGGCCTTGAATTACAAATAGGCCTACAATTTAGCCTCCCCATTAATCTACATGGGAAGCTCCAATGCGTCTGCTATCAAGTCAAGGGGGTGAAAAATAAACTCAAGATTCAGCAATTCAAAGTGAACTTTATTTTGGAATGCATATTAATATGAACAAAAATAATTTATATCATACAAAAATAATAAAATTAACAAAACTGATTAAAAAAATACAACAAACAACACGACCAAAGGTCAATTAATTATCACAAAACAATATTGAATGCTCCTGCTAGCAATTATAATTCAAAAATTCCTATACAAAATTGGTTGACATTATAAAATGGTCTATGTGCATAGAGAACCAAACTGCATAATAAGGCTTTATTGGTGATATTGCTTGGATATTATTGTATATATATATATATATGTGTGTATGTTAAATTATACGTAAGCCACAAAATGTTATTTTAATACAAAATGCTGTAAAATTCCCATCAACATATATTATATTACAGTACAAAAATATCAGTGAACTTTGTATAAAATAGTGTTTTTTACCCTATCAAGTTTTTGTTTTAAAATCGTTGTTTAATTATTGTTAAGTAGCTATAATGATGATAAAAAAATTACTATAAATAAATATACATATTTTAATGCATTTAGTTTTTTTTTTCCTACTTGACAAACCTAAATACCAAATAAACACTATTAACCATGTGGACTTCCTAATAGTGATGTCAAGTTGACAAACCTAAATACCAAATAAACACTATTAACCATGTGGACTTCCTAATAGTGATGTCAAGTTGACAAACCTAAATACCAAATAAACACTATTAACCATGTGGACTTCCTAATAGTGATGTCTACTTGACAAACCTAAATACCAAATAAACACTATTAACCATGTGGACTTCCTAATAGTGATGTCAAGTTGACAAACCTAAATACCAAATAAACACTATTAACCATGTGGACTTCCTAATAGTGATGTCTAGTTGACAAACCTAAATACCAAATAATCAATATTAACCATGTAGACTTCCTAATAGTGATGTCTAGTTGACAAACCTAAATACCAAATAATCAATATTAACCATGTAGACTTCCTAATAGTGATGTCTAGTTGACAAACCTAAATACCAAATAAACACTATTAACCATGTAGACTTCCTAATAGTGATGTCTAGTTGACAAACCTAAATACCAAATAATCAATATTAACCATGTAGACTTCCTAATAGTGATGTCTAGTTGACAAACCTAAATACCAAATAATCAATATTAACCATGTAGACTTCCTAATAGTGATGTCTAGTTGACAAACCTAAATACCAAATAATCAATATTAACCATGTAGACTTCCTAATAGTGATGTCTAGTTGACAAACCTAAATACCAAATAATCAATATTAACCATGTGGACTTCCTAATAGTGATGTCTAGTTGACAAACCTAAATACCAAATAATCAATATTAACCATGTAGACTTCCTAATAGTGATGTCTAGTTGACAAACCTAAATACCAAATAAACACTATTAACCATGTGGACTTCCTAATAGTGATGTCTAGTTGACAAACCTAAATACCAAATAAACACTATTAACCATGTGGACTTCCTAATAGTGATGTCTAGTTGACAAACCTAACTACCAAATAATCAATATTAACCATGTGGACTTCCTGATAGCCATGTGGATTTGACAAACCTAAATACCAAATAAATGATATTAACCATGTGGACTTCCAAATAGTGATGTCTAGTTGACAAACCTAAATACCAAATAATCAATATTAACCATGTGGACTTCCTGATAGCCATGTGGATTTGACAAACCTAAATACCAAATAATCAATGTTAACCATGTGCACTTCCTAATAGTGATGTCTAGTTGACAAACCTAAATACCAAATAAATTATATTAACCATGTGAACTCCCTGATAGTGATGTCAAGTTGACAAACCTAAATACCAAAAAAATATTAAAAGCCATGTGGACTCTTTGTAAGGGAATTTGAGTAAGCAAATGTGGATTTGACAAACCTTACTACCAAACAAACACTATTAACCATGTGGACTTCCTGATAGCCATGTGGATTTGACAAACCTTACTACCAAATAATCACTATTAACCATGTGGACTTCCTGGTAGCCATGTGGATTTGACAAACCTTACTACCAAACAAACACTATTAACCATGTGGACTTCCTGATAGCCATGGGGATATGACAAACCTAACTACCAAATAATCACTATTAACCATGTGGACTTCCTGATAGCCATGTGGATTTGACAAACCTTACTACCAAACAAACACTATTAACCACGTGGACTTCCTGATAGCCATGTGGATATGACAAACCTAACTACCAAATAATCACTATTAACCATGTGGACTTCCTGATAGCCATGTGGATTTGACAAACCTAACTACCAAATAAACACTATTAACCATGTGGACTTCCTGATAGCCATGTGGATATGACAACCTAACTACCAAATAAAAACTATCAACTTCCTGAAAAGGATGTTGAGTTGACATCCCAAATAAAATTTAGTATCCATGTTGACTCTTTATAAGACGAACCTAAATACTAAATAACCAATAGTAACCATCTAGACTTCCTGATAGCCATGTGGATTTGACAAACCTTACTACCAAACAAACACTATTAACCATGTGGACTTCCTGATAGCCATGTGGATTTGACAAAACCTAAATACCAAATAATCAATATTAACCATGTGCACTTCCAAATAGTGATGTCAAGTTGATAAACCTAAAAACCTAATAAATGATATTAACCATGTGGACTTCCAAATAGTGATGTCAAGTTGACAAACCTAAATACCAAATAGACATTTTTAACCATGTGGACTTACTAATAGTGATGTCAAGTTGACAAACCTAAATACCTAATAGATGATATTAACCATGTGGACTTACTAATAGTGATGTCTAGTTGACAAACCTAACTACCACATACACATTTTTAACCATGTGGACTCTACGCAAGAAATGTAAAACAGACAGACTTAATCTCAGATTAAAATATTTTTGAGGTTGACGAAGGTTTAAACACGTTTATGATAAGGATAACCCTCTGGGATGTTTCTAATATTAGAATGAAAGCCAGGTGGTATTTTATTTATAACTGGTATATCAGTGAATGATATTTTACAAACACTAGAACTAGTGCAAGTTGTATTCTCCAACTCCAACACCACTAAATAATTCAGTTTGGACGGCTCCTTCAACACTGGTTTGGGTACATAGAGCGTTACTTGTGGTCCCATCACCGGCCAGTATCTACCTAGATTGAAACCATTCACTAAGGCTTGACCCTGAAATTATAAAACAATATAAAATTCTACATCATAATCATCTATAATAAATAGTGCTGGCAAGATATATTGGTGAATTGACTTGTATTTCCAAAACTAGCATTTCTGATTAGGAATCTATTTCTGACACAGCAGTATGAGATGAATTTTAGTCAATTGTAAAGCCAGTTTTTTTTATTTTCAAAATAACTGCCATTTCACCTGCAAGAAAATAGAACTGACCTTGGTCCAGTTGGTAGGATCTAAGAAGGTATCTTTAGGTTCATCACTGGACGCTGGGATTGGAATTTTACCAATAAAAATGGACGGTGTTTGTAAACCCTTATTCTTTTTAGGTCCAGTACTGAAATTTTAACATGAAAATTGTCATCAAAGGGACACATTTAGGATTAAATATTTGAATAATTGAATATTTGGATAGCATTATATTCCCTATTTTTTTTAATAGGGGGAGAGGAGGGGGAGAGGAGGGGGAGCTTTGCATTTGTCTCCCCAGAAATATAGTTTATATACTTTTTTTTTCCAACAATATGTCTCAAAATGACCGAATCAATATAATTTTTCCAAATTTGTCTCAGGTAGAACCTACTCAGAGACTCCATGGCAGGCTCAGACTTCCCCATTTGGAATCTTAATCCCTGACAGTTGTCTCCCCAAAAAGCCTGTCTTCTCTCTATTTTTACCCCAGAGTTCCAGGTAATGGAGCCACTACTATTGCTTTTATACAAACCTCTTAATGTTGTGCTGAAATATGGTGGTACCATTGATATTTTCTAAAGATATAGGATAGATCGTCCAGTCTGTTAATATTTTACCATTTAATGTTACATTAGCTATTATACCCTGCAACACAAAAAAATAGTTTACTTGACTTAAAGAGATTGTAAACAGGTTCTCTAAAAAAATTATGTGTATAAGGGACACTGATAGAATCAATTTGCACCATTCCAATTTTCAATCAGACGTCTGTGTTTCCCGCAACTCCACTGAAATGTTTGATGACTTTAAATGCTTTATCACATAATTCAATGAGTCAATGTCATTCGTGCTACAAGTATCGAGGCATCTGATGCTATTTAGGAGAATGGCATTAAAATATCACATGACAGTTTAATCACATTCTATTGGCCATTGAGAAAATCTTGACTGAGCTTTTGCTCACATCGAGCACACACGCAAAGCCAATTGTCAATCTTGCCAAAATTATCGCACAGAATAGATTTCTGATGCATCGTCCTGCAAGGCAAACGACACAGCAAAAATTACCCGCACACAGTGAGCGCCTAATCTAATACCTTAAAGTGAGAAACAATCTACCTTAGTGTTGTAGTTCATTAATGTAGCGAAACCAATTCTGCCTGTATTTTCTACCAGTATATCTAGATATTGGCCCTGTTTACCTGTAATATTGACCTGTGTTGTATCATCTCGAATAAATATACCCTGTGGCACCTACAAAACATAATTCACATTGATAAATTAAATTTATATCCTAATGTTCTGTATCTTATTGGACTAATGAAATGAAATAGAGTTCTATATCCTACTGTTCTGTACCTTATTTGACTAACGAAATGAAATGGTGTTTTACATCCTACTGTTCTGTATCTTATTAGACTAACGAAATGAAATGGTGTTTTACATCCTAATGTTCTGTATCTTATTAGACTACCGAAATGAAATGGTGTTTTATATCCTAATGTTCTGTATCTTATTGAGCTAATGAAATGAAATGGTGTTTTATATCCTACTGTTCTGTATCTTATTGAACTAATGAAATGGTGTTTTATATCCTACTGTTCTGTATCTTATTGAACTAATGAAATGGTGTTTTATATCCTACTGTTCTGTATCTTATTAAACTAATGAAATGGTGTTTTATATCCTACTGTTCTGTATCTTATTAAACTAATGAAATGAAATAGAGTTTTATATCCTACTGTTCTGTACCTTATTGAACTAATGAAATGAAATGGTGTTTTATATCCTACTGTTCTGTATCTTATTGAACTAATGAAATGAAATAGAGTTTTATATCCTACTGCTCTGTATCTTATTGAACTAATGAAATGAAATAGAGTTTTATATCCTACCATTCTGTGCCTTATTAGATTGATGAAATGAGTTTTATGCTCAACTGACATGGACTGATGAAGTGGTCATGCAGTGTCCAATAAGGGAAATTTAACCATTTCAGGGAACATTGTGGATCATATGCTTCTTCCTTTTTGGTTTGGCAGAACCGATAATAATTAAGAAGAGATCTAATTTGATTTTTGGAGTTAATTCCCTGTGCTAATAAGTACAAGACTGACTAACCTGGTCTATTGTTACGTAGCCTCTATCTCTCACACCACCAGTTATTAATGGGGTTGGTGTAGTAATATCAGTTGGTAATTTGGTACGATATAAAATAAAACCATAATACTGGGAAAAAAAAGAAAATTATATCCAAAGGAACCTTTACAAAGGTTGATGATCAGGAACCTGTTTCACAAAAACGTATCCAAGATTAAATCATAGTTTTAAAGAAAAAACAGCAATTTGATTGGTTAATTTATCTTGATTTGAATTCAAATGTAATTATTGACCAATCAAATGACTGAAACCTTGAAATTATCCAAAGTTGTTCATGACTAATATACTTGACTACATGCGCACACACACCTCTGACCTTTGACCTTTTTTACTCTGAGAGGCCAAAACAAGAAGTATTCACTTACAAATTTGATCTGCTCCATTGTCAATGGATAGGTTGATGAGACTGGTTGATTGGGACTAAGAACTGACAGAGCATCTTGTACTGTAGCTACCTGAATATACAAAACATTAAGATTTAGCTCAATTGATAAGTTCTGTACCTTTGGGATTCATGGAATCAAGCAGACGTTCAATAAAACAAGTTGGAACAGAGTTCCACGTGTACCGAAAAAATTGTAGGTGAAGACAGAATTCAAAATGGCGGAGAAGGCAAAAGATTGAGGGTAGAATCTGAACTGACAGAACCTGTTCAGAACTCTCCAATCGACCACCACCTCTATCTTTAGTGAAAAACAGCTTTTGCTGCTGACATGTGTTTCAGATACACAATCCTCAACAGGACTGATGGTGGAAATGGGAAATAACTTAATGTTTGGATTTTAGGCATGTATGAATAAAATCATTGAGCAAGCTGAACTATATATATCAGATATGACATGGAAAAAAGTATCATTGCAGTGTGCAATGTGAAATAACCTAGTCTATTTTGGAATGCCCACTGTACCTTCAACATGCACAATAATGTTAAACTAGACTTTAAGGTGCCATAATTTGCTTGATGGAACATTTTGAGGCACAAAAAATTTGCAATTTTCCAATGTGTAATCAATATGTGTCAAAAAAGATGAAACCATTTTTTTTTTAAAAACTTACAAAATTCATATCTGTATCTCCGTAATTGCCTTTTGGTGTATTTGGTGGAATTGGCATCTCTGGTAGCTTTTGGTACTGAAATAGAAAATAGATTTATAAATTCATGTTATCATGAGCTGAGCTGTTTGGGCTAAAACTTTTATAACTAGACCTAAAATGATAATGCATTATTTAATCAAGAAATTCATAATAATAACAATAATAATGAAATAAAAGCAGGAGTAATTCTTTGGTACCACTGTACTTTTGTCTTGGCTTACCAGCCTTTTTGCTTTATTTTCAAGTCTTATTTTAATCTGGTCTATAAATATAGCTGGTAAATATCAAGTTATTAATTCATAATGTTCTTACCTTGGATATAGTTTGCCGAATAGCAATGTATTTATCAGTTATGTCCCCTGTTTCATTTAAGGGGGAGTCATAATCGTAACTGGTTGGTACAGGTTGGTAGGGAGGGGCATTGGCTCCTGAAACAGAAATCAAGAGTTGTAAAAAATGGCAACACCTTGTAGTGTGCAATAAGGAAAATTTTGCCAAATTTACTCTTTTCTAATGCCTGGAACTGGTTGGTATTCACTCATGAGATCTCCCATCAAATATTTTGTCCTTTTTCCATGTGTCAATCCCTCAAAACCACAACAATGACAGGGAAAACCAGCCACCATCTTGACTTTACATTGTCAAGCAACTTTCTTTCATTTTAATTTATGCTTACCATTCCAGTATCCAAAATTTGTTCCACCTTCAAACATATACCTATAAGACAAATTGCCGACGAAATTGGACATGTCAACCACACAATATGATCTATTATCAATAGAATCTTTTACTCCAAAGTTTATTCCTGATTTAGTTTACTCAGATTTTAGAATTTTTTTGTCAAATCCATCAGTCCTGATGAGTGAATATGTGTATTAGGTATAAGGTATAAGGTAATATGAGATGTTTTGGACTATTACTACACCAACTTTCTAGAAAGCAAATTTTCAAGTCCAAAATGTGATAAGCAACTTACATATTGACGCTGGCCCCTAGTGCTAGTATTTTATCTAAACTGTTACATACAGTGTCTATAGCAGTATGAGCATGAGGATTACCCCAATGATCTAACCAGCCTGTATAGAATTCAGAGTTCACCTACAACACATAGAACATAATATTAGATGTTTGGTCAATGACCAGCTCAAGACTGGATATTTCTATTCTTTTACTAGATGTACAGTCTAGTCCCAGCTGGCAAAAAAGGAAACTTGTGATCCTAGGCTGTTATCCTTGTAATATCATTACTATCATGGTACTAAAGGTAACCTATGCAATATAGGGAAGGATCTTTGCAAAGTAACTCACCAATGACCTTTAGGTTCAAAATGGTACTAAAGGTAACCTAACCAATATAAGGAAGGATCTTTGCAAAGTAACTCACCAATGACCTTTAGGTTCAAAATGGTACTAAAGGTAACCTAACCAATATAAGGAGGTTCAAAATGGTACTAAAGGTAACCTATCCAATATAAGGAAGGATCTTTGCAAAGTAACTCACCAATGGACCTTTAGGTTCAAATAGTTATAAAGGTAACCTATGCAATATAAGGAAGGATCTATCCAAAGTAACTCACCAATGGACCTTTAGGTTCAAAATGTCTCTGAACTTGAAAATTACTGGCTGGATTACCTGTAAAAAGACATTTAAATCAACATTAAGTACTCATCTCCATTTTTCTACATAAACACCTATATAACCACATATATATATGATGTGAAAAGTCATTGTCATTGTCGTGTTTGAGGGAAATTATTATAGATGTCTCACAAAAGCACTGGCCTGGGTCAAAAAAAAAAAAAAAAGATTTGAGATGATTCATGAAAGCATGAAAAAGATGACGTCATCAAACACTTAGTTTTAGTGGAATTGCAGGAACCACAGATGTCTGATTAAAAATTGGAATGATGTAAATTGATGCTATCAGTGTCTCTGATACACATAAAAATTTCAGAAAACTAGTTTACAATCTCTTTAATACTTGTTGTATTTGTCTTATTCTAAATTTGATGATCAAAATAAAAAAAGATAACATACTGGTTGGTCCGAAGTCAATAGTAACATAGCAACCTTCAACAGTACCACACTTAACATATGCATCCCCATCTCCGTCTGTGGTATAAATAATGGCCTTCTCGCCCAATCCAGTACGAGCTTTCTGATACAGAAATCTTAAATAGTCGTAATCACATGCAAAATAACTACCATATTCATTCTCAATCTGAAATGTTAATCATAATAATAACAGGTGTTTTACATATTCCAATTAGACGTCACTATTTCATAAAGCTGCTTACAGGCCTTTGTGATAGTACAAGCTTATGATTTAGTGAAATCATATAAACCATAGATATCTGATTGAAAATTGGAATAGTGCAAATCAATGCTATCAGTGTCCCCACTACATGTAAAAAGTTTAGAAAACCTCTTTACAATCCTTTCAATATTATTAACTGAACACAGTCGTTTTGATATCATGAGCTAGCCTGGCTTCAAAATCAAGGACAAGATGTCTGCAATTCTGAAAACATGAATTCAGGCCCATAACAGGCTTGGTTGTTTGCTGGGGCAAGTAATATAACGGGGGCAATGGTGTAAATAATGGAATTGGTCGTTCAGGGAGGCAATCTGTTTTTCGCCCCCCTTATGTAATTATTTAAGTTTTTGGACTTAGTCCCAAGATTTTCTTACCTGTACCATTAATATAGGACCACCATTAATATGAAGATATTTCTTTAAGATTGGTAACAAGACATCATACCAACCATCTACAGCTTTTATATAATCTGAAACACATATATATACATGATATTATAATTTTATCTATTCTCATCTAAACTTAAAGATGTTTTGTACCAGTTAAAAGATGTGTAGATGACCTGCATTAATGATGTAATCCAGATATATCAATATCTTAAAGGAATTGTAAAGAGTTTTTCTAATTTTTTTATGTGTGTCAGGGACACTGATAGCATCAATTTGCACCATTCAAATTTTCAATCCGGCGTCTGTGGTTCCTGTAATTCCATTAAAAATAAGTGTTAGATGACATCACTAATCGCGAAATTTGCTTTATTACATAAGGTTCTTCACGATTAGTGGCATTCCTCAATGAAATGAATCTGCCTACCTGGATCCATAGTTCTGACCACCATATTGGGATTAATGGTTAATAACCAAGCTGGTAGTCCTCCCTGAAGTTAAAAATATCAAAATTCAGATAACAAAAGATAGTCTGGGACAATAACAGTGTGGATCAGAGTTGCATGTTATTGGGTAAAATACCAGGCCCCTGGTATCATTATCTGTATCAGTGCTCTGCAAACCAGATTAAAGCCAATCAAAAAACAAATACATACAATATATTTTGAATTTGTCATATTCAGAATGACTGAGATAACCCACAGAAAATACATGAAACAAAATATATAAAATTGTTTTGATAACCAGTAAAAATTTGACTTTTCACAGTAATTAACATGGATGAGTGAGGTACCCCACAAAAAATAAATGAATCCAAATAATTAGATCTGTATCACTATAGACTATCCTGAGCTATATTGGTTTTGAATGAAAAAATCATGCATGTTAGATTTTAACATATATATCTGCTCTCGTGCTCTGCTCTCGTGCTAATCTGAAACCAAAAAACCCTAAGGAACTTACGTATTCCCATTCTCCACAGATATAGGGACCTGATCTCATTAAAACTTTTAAACCAACATCTTGAGCTGTTTGTAAGAATAATTCTAGATTAGCTAGACCAGTAAAATCGTATTTCCCTTGTGTTGGTTCATGGATGTTCCAGGGTACATATCTAAAATAAGACAATATTTTAAACTGTGTTTTCAAGAGTAACAATTTTGATTTATTTTGTCCTCCATGTTGTATGATATTGGCAGTTGGGCCATCTTCACATCAATCATACCTTAGTCTCAGAAACGGGAATTTTTTACCTAAACCAATCAGCAATAGTGCTAACAGCCTACCATGTTCAGAATTATCTGCATTCGAAAATTAAAAAGATGAGTCGTCTTTTCTTGAGACACTGCCATATAGTAAAGACATCAATAAAAATAGGAAAAGAAATTTTAGTACTTCTGAAGACTATTTACATACATTCAAGACTCAAATCAACACCCCACAAATGGCGCACCTTTCACTTTATAATTTAGTTGTTAATTTCATTGAACTTTCATTTTAGCCGAAGTGATAAATCATCACCCTACTGTTTCCACACTTACGTCTGTACAGTGTTCAATCCAGCAGCCACCATTTTCATCAGTCTATCTTTCCAGTAGTATGGGTGAGTCCTGCTGTAGTGCATACTACCAGAGATGGCCCGGAATGGCTTACCATCCAGAATAAAAGTGTTGCCATTATAGTCTATGGTAAAACTATCATTTTGACACTGAAAATGGAATAGTATCACAGATCAAAGTATTCACAGTATGAAACATAATTAGATTTCGGAAGGCAAAGAGATGCATATAAAGGATTGTGGACTCTCTTAAATTGATGTTAGGTTGATAGACCTTAATGACCATAAGAAAAATGTCAGCTTTTTTAACATCGAAAGTGAAAGTTTAAATAAACCCAAATAGCACATAAACAACTTTTTTTTATGTCTACTTCTACCTGACAACAATGTTGCACATTTTGAAAAATATTTTCATTTCTTGAAATATCAATTCAAATAGAGCACTGAGTGTATTCCTTAACATTATGGTATGTGGACACTGAGCGGAGACTGGAGAGTCGTACAGTCAAGTAACCTAATAAATAAAAAAAAATTTTCGTTTTCATAACTTCGACCAAATTCGGTGTTGAATCCTTATATCCACGAAAATAGGATACACCACTGTATTTGTATGACTTTATTATGACTCTTTCTTTGACTTTAGATTAGAGTTTGAATTTTTGAACGACAAAATTAAGACATTTCATAATCGTCTCCTTGTCTGCTTCAATCGGTGCGACAGGCGTATATTCTGTCTATTGCCTAGTCTTACAGAACAGTTGTCTCGTCATACTAACCTCACAAATATATATAAACGAAATAAAACAAAAGAAGGTAACCAAAATGCTGTTTCTCCTGTCAGCCATTTTAACATGTCATGTGATTTTCAATCACGTGGTATTGAAAGTCACCATATGATCTGTGTCTGGCACGTGATTGTCACGTGGTTATCGAGAAAAACTGCCAACTTTCTAAAACTCAACGAAACTAGGAACATGTGCGTTTTTGCACGTTAAATGTTGCATTTTTATTGAAACAAGGCACGAGGTACATCCAAGATCCATTAAACGATCATTTTAAATTGAAATGAGAATGTGTCAAGCCTTATTTTATTGAGAGCACGGCAAATGATTATGAAGAAATAGCTCAAAGATGGCGGGTTGGTGGGGGAAAAGTGGCATTTCCTTTTCCATGCTTGCTTATTAATTAGAGATGATGCAAGGCAAAATTTTCCACCATTACTTTCAGTATATGAAATAAAATCACACAGTTTAAAAAAGTCATTGCTCGACTGACTGGAGTTGCATTGCATGTGTATTTTTTCAAAATGATTTCCAGAATCAAGTGTGTCCAGTGTCACTAGACTGGAATAGCTGATATGCTACTTCGATATTCAATTTCAGGGTGTTCACATAAATAATAATGTTGTTTTGATCCTTCATTGTAGAAAATGTCATCCAGCATGGACCATAATAACAACTTGAGAAAGAACCCAGGAATGACAGAACAATTGTATATTGACAGCAATGGAAACTATGTTACTATCTGCAAAGAAAGTTCAATCATGAGTAATGGGAAAGGGCATACTGTAAGTGTTGAAAATCTTGCTAGGAAAACCAATGCAAAGAAGATCTACACAACAAATGGAGTTTCACCAAGGAAAGGCAGATCTCTCAGCAATAAAGAACCTGTCAGCACAGTCAACCTTACCACTAAACCAAATCCTGCTGCCAATGATATGTATGGCAACCATGGCAACCATTTCAACCATGGCAACTATTTCAACCATGGCAACCATATCACTCATGACAACTGGCAAACCCAGGACACCCATCTCACCAATTACAATCACCACACTATTGGCAACATTATCACCAATGGCAACCACATTAATGACGACCATTTCATCCAATCGGATTTTCAGAACCTAAATGAAGAAAATGGGTTGCCCTTTTTAACTGACATCATTAAAGAGCTTCCAGAATTAAGCATCCATCAAGTCAGTGAAGTGTTGTCGAGTTTTGAAGATGATAGTGCAACTGGGAAAATAGACACACCCTTATTGGATTCCAAGCAAGTTTACCAAGTTTTGTCAAATTTCAATCCAGAATTCCTTCCCTTTCCATTCCAATATATGGATTTATTTCATAGTAATGCTTTTTCTATGCCAAGAAGACATTTGGAAAATTCTCATAAAGACACCAGTGGTAATACTTATCACCAAGATGCACCCGATAGAACCAAAATCAACTACAATCTTTCACCAGAACCACAGAATCATTTGGCAAAATTGCCTTCGTCTGCATCGGTTCATCTTGACCAAGGAAGAAATACAGATAGAAGTGTCCAGAAAATTTTTCCTTGTGCATCTCCTGTACCAGTTGAAATGAAAACCAGTCAATCGATTGTTAAAACACAGGACACGTCAAAAGTGAGCCAAAACAAGACAAAGCCGAAAGCATCCAGAATACCCATCAAAGTTGGAAAAGTTAAAAGTAACAGAAAAAATGACACAAAAACTGGTTTGCAAAAAGGGATGAAGATTTCACATGGTCCAAGACTTGGCCATCCATCATCTTATCCAGGAACTCCTTCCTCAAAATCTTTTGCTACCCCAAAGCGCTACAAGTGTGACAAATGTTCGAAAACTTTTACACGTCTGGATTCACTGACTCAACATCTAAAAATTCATGTTCAAAAATCTTTACACGTGTGCAAAGTCTGCCAAAAATCTTTTCAAACCAAAAGTCAACTGAACAGTCATGCCAAAACTCATGATAAACATAAGTGTAAAATATGCAGAGAAAGTTTTGAAACCAATAAAAAGCTTGCAAGTCATCAAACATTTCATATTGTTAGTAGAAGCCATAAGTGTGATGTGTGTGAGAAAGTGTTTACATGTTCCTCACACTTAAAGAGACATTCTATAATTCATACCAGAGCCAAAGCCAAACCTCTTTCCAAGGAAAGTAAATCATTTAGTCTCCAGGGAAATGCAAAAAAGCCTGCAAAAGTAAAGTTATGTTGCAAATTTTGCTTAAAGCAGTTTCAGGTTGAAAAATGGTTCCAAAATCATGTTCAAAAATGCGTGAAAAAATAATAATGTTTGTGGGAGAGAATTTTGTTTTAAGTTATTTATCAGATTTGTTATTTGAGGACAACTGTAACGTTTTGAGCCTTTTGTTTTGAGCCTTATGTTTTGAGCCTTACGTCTAGGCCTTATGTTTTGAGCCTTACGTCATGGGACTTATGTTTTGATCATTATTTTCTGAGCCTTATGTCTTGAGCTTATGTTTTTATCCTTGTCTAGCACATCATGTCTTGAGCCTTATGTTTTGAGCCTTACGTCTAGGGACTTATGTTTTGAGTAGTATGTTTGTAGCCTTATGTTCTGAGCATTATGTCTTGAGCTTATGTTTTTATCCTTGTCTAGCTCATCATGTCTCGAGCCTTATGTTTTGAGCCTTATGTCTTGAGCTTATGTTTTGATCCTTGTCTAGCACATCATGTCTTGAGCCTTATGTTTTCAGCCTTACGTCTAGCACATCATGTATTGAGCCTTATGATTTGAGCCTTGTCTTGAGCTCATGTTTTGATCCTTGTCTAGCACATCATGTCTTGAGCCTTATGATTTGAGCTTTATGTCTTGAGCCTTATGATTTGAGCTTTATGTCTTGAGCCGTAGTTTTTTAGCCTATGTCATGAGGCTTATTTCTTTAGCCTTAGGATATGAGTCTTCTGTCTTGAGCATTATGATTTGAGCCTTCTGTCTTGAGCATTATGATTTGAGCCTTCTGTCTTGAGCCTTATGATTTGAGCCTTCTGTCTTGAGCATTATGATTTGAGCCTTCTGTCTTGAGCCTTATGATTTGAGCCTTCTATCTTGAGCATTATGATTTAAGCCTTCTGTCTTGAGCATTATGATTTGAGCCTTCTGTCTTGAGCCTTATGATTTGAGCCTTCTGTCTTGAGCATTATGTAGAAAACTAGCATTTGAGTGTAATGTTTGGAAGTATTTTGTAGATTGATTGGTAATACCCCCCCCCCCCCCCCCATTTTTATTTCCCAAAGACTTTATGAGACAAGAGCTCATTTAATTCTTCAGATACAAAATGTCAATATGGGCTTTCATTCGTTGTGTTGTGAACCCATTTATCATATTAAGCTCGGGTTTTCTTCAGGTTTTTTTGTTTTGTTTTGGTTCATTATATGGTTGAATGCCACGTATTTGTTTTAAATTTGTTTAAAAAAATTGTTTTTGTTAGATGCCAAGTATTTGTTTTAGATGTTTTTGTAGATGCCAAATATGTACAAAAGAAGTACTGAAAATTGTTTTTGATGAGGCCTTTAGTTTTTTGTTTTCGTTTTTTTGCAAAACCCACATATTCTCAAACTTGGAGAAGGAAAAACAATGATTGATACCAGCCTTGCATTTTGATGGAGAATATATCAGCATGTTTAACTTTGTAAACTTTCTGTACAGTTCTCCTTGACCGTCTCCCAGATGACCATCATCCTGCATACGGGTTTAGCTGATAGAGACTGATTCCAGCTTCAATTGAGAATTTGTTTGAATTTTTCAGGGGGGTGGGTGAGGGGGCTTTTAGTTACGTTCCTGGACACGATGACAGACGAGGTGACTTGCGGCTAAAACCATCTGTAAGAGTCGCTAAGAGTTTCTCGGACAAGAAAGAAACCAAAACAAAATCGATTAGAAATAAAATTCCTTTAAGTGAGATTTATACCTTTATTCTTACTTTAGGGGGTTCCGTCTGCAAAATTTAATTACGGTAAACTACGTGGCTTTTGTTGGCAGGCCGAAGGGTGTGAACCAATTCCCATTGAACTTCCTCCACCCTAGACTTGTGGAACTTCTATCTGGTTCAGAACTTACTGACTCAGTTGCCCTTAACCCGACAACACTGACGTTCCTCAGACGTGATTCCTGATAAGGTCGCTGATTTAAAAGTGGCATATCACATCCTTATACAACTGGAGTACTATAGTTGTAGGGCTATATTGCTAACCCGTACCAGTAGCTTCTAATCTCTGGTCGACCACCTTCAATAAGGCTGCGTACCAATCAAAATGTAAACCTTCGTCTCAGAAACTTGTATAAGTCAGGAAGACACCTTTGATAATTAAAACGAGTAGTTTCAATCTGATCACAAAAACTGCCACCGTGCTAGTGCACACGATATATTTCGGCGTAGTCAATCTACAAACAAGAGGAAAATATGCAGTTATGAGGGAAATGTTTTATTAATTTTCAAACATATGACAAACATATTTATCTGAGATAAGTACAGGTTTGAAGGCTAGTCCACCATGTTGTGAGACTTGTATCATCTTCACCAAGAGCTTGAAGACATTTTATACGACACCGGATTAATGTCGATGTTGACACCGACTCGGCCCATAATTTGGCTTTCAGACGTAATCGATCAATTTCCGACATCTCATCAACTTCGTTGCCATCTTGGGTTTTCAAATTCTTTTTGTCCTCTTGGTGTGACTTCCGGTTCTTGTCGTGCGTCACCTCCGGATGGTGTCTGGAGTCAACCAAAAAAGATCTACGAGCACCAACTTCATAAGAAGCAGTCACAAGGTAACTTTCTGTGGACTTAGCTGCAGCACTAGCAAAAATGTGCTGATTTTGACTTGATGGGGGAACACTACCATACGTTACTAGCCATTCGTCTTTGTTGTTTTTCACAAATTTAAGATATTCGAAAAGCGGTTTGCAGTCGTGAAGGAAGAGCTCACTGTTTTCGTGAAGCAAATTGGAATGGCTTTGACCAAGAGCGTCCAGATTTTCGTTCTTTATTCTGGATATCGCTTTATTTTTAACCGACTCGACCCAATTTGGTTTCATGTTTTCAGTCTTTGAATCACCTGTAATGGATTCCTTGGAAACGTTCTGAGAAGAAGTTGTCTTCACAGCACTTCCGGTTCCATCGGTTTCGTCTGCAGCAACTGACCTTAAAGAAGCCTTAGCAGATCTGGATGGCATCACATTTGACAACCCGGGAACCAGAGGATTTGATTTGGTTGAAAACGCAGCAAATTCTCCGCTTTCAAACCTTGCCTTCCGTAGCTTATTATCATGACAGCTGAAGAAACTCTTTCTGGGAAGCGCTCTTTGGATTTCAGCTCTAGATAACCAGACTTTTCTTTGTGGTGCTGTTTTTGATCTCATCTCGGTTGCTGCTAAAATAGAAAAAAGAGCCAAAAGGCAAAAATCTCATAACTAGGTTAGAAATTTCGAGCAAGCTCAGATATTTCGTCCCAGTCGGACGTAAACCTGGCTGCGCCACTGCCTGAGTTATCAAATTACAGATGGGTAATGATAAAGGATGTCTTACTTAGTGTCCATGTACATTTTGGTCGACGAGTTTAAGGAGAGAAAATCGACTAATTGAATAAAAATGTACAACTTGATTGCCTGGAATAATGAGGAAAGTCGGTCATACATCAAAAATGTAAATCCTGAAAAATCATGTGAGCATGTCGAAAAACCCTCACACCATTACCAGTTGCGTATTGTTGCGAATAATGAAGTGGTCTAGAGTATCGAACGCAACTCACAACTCAAGTTTTGCTCGAAGTCATGACCGTTATTTTTATCTGCAATTAACCGGACGTAACTGGTGATCGCTGTGTGTGAGGACCCCTTGAGACGCAGGCCTACCTCCATCCATAAATTTGACTTCCTTAAAACGATTATCCGTCTTCATTAGCTGAGTAAGTGACTCTATCAAGGGTATATTTCCTTATCTATGTCAATACTAAACGAAACCATTTTACACTTATAAAGTGTCATGGTGTAAAAGGGAATGTTTATTTGTAGTTTATGTTCATTGGAATTTGATACTCAAGGGATACGACCATCTAGGTATTGACTTCACTAAAGCTAAAGACACATACATGCGGTTCGTGGTCCGGTGCAGCGATGCGATGCGTTCATTTCACCGCAGCGTTTCACCGGATCGAAACAAACAAGGGTATGCATTTGACATGACACATACATGCTGTCGCGTTGCTATATTTCCCCGCTGCGTTTCACCGGACCAAAAGTCTCGGGACTTTCTGTCCGGTGAAACGCAGCTGTGCCGCGGGTGATTTCCATTATTTTCAGACGTCATTGTGGAGAAACCCCATTATTACAGAGTTGAAGCCGTCAACATGCCACGTTCAGTCAAATTTAACGCAAAAGTGAACCGCGCCGCGCGTATGTGTCATACCTGCCGCAACGGTACCGCATAATCGCACCGGTTTACCGCAACGCAGGCATCGCACCCGCCTGTATGTGTCTTCAGCTTTAACAATATCGAAAGGCCATCAAGTTAAAGGGATGCAGTCGGCTCAATATTTAACGTAGCTTGGAACTTATACGTGTTTACTTTAGCTTCCCATATTAAATTTCAGCATTCGGTGTTGTGTTTGTCTGCAATAAAATAAGATTGACAAGCGCCAACTTTTTGCTGCCGACTCATGTTTTGGATATAACACACTGGACTGGACACTGTATTCATTAGAGCTGATTTTATACCATCGATGTGTGTTTCGAGTGTTAAGTGGTGACTTTAGTGACGCCAAAAAAGTCTAAGACATGTCATCGTGATCGCTTTTGCTTTGAAAAATTCAGTGTGGGGGTTTTGATTAGGGGAAGTTATAAAAGTTTAGCTGAAATGATATTGCATTAGCTGATAACTGCTCAAATGAACATTTAGACGACTATATCCCTATAAGTCCTACACTTTCTTACGAACTTTAATCCTTAAAGCAAATATTAGCTATAACCTTCAAGATATATTATTTTGAATTACCCCAAATATATCACGTTATTGGGCCATAAGATGCATTCCATTGGAAGCGGGCAAGTATACCTTTCTTCAACCTTTTTTGTTGGTGTTTAAGTAATACTACTTCTTAAAATGAAAATAAAACTTAGACTTGCAAACGTGGCCAATAAGAGTATTTAATTCATCTTTGATGTAATATGTGTTCGGTGGTATTGAATCATATTCGGTAATAAAGAGGCGGATGCTATTTTTACGCATGCGCATTTGTATGATGTAAAAACGTGTTTCAAGTTGCAATCAATTTTCAGTTTCAGAAGATTTCATAATTCTTGGACAAGACGACGTCTGAATTCAATTAGAAGCTTCATTCATATTCAGAGCAGGTGAGTAGTCATATATCCTCTCATTTCCTTTGTAGATTTTCACTGACTTGTCGGTGATTTACGAAATTTGGCATCAAACCGAGTTTGATATAATTTGTTTACATTTTTCTCGTTCTCAAGTTCTACTTACTAGTTTCGATTCGTCAATGATCCTTGAAATAATTTGGTATCCGTCGTGATGTATGACGCACTTTTCATCATTATTGTTAGGATAATTAATAAATTATCGGGTATAGGTAGTCTATCCTCATTATTCCATTATTCATATGCTTGAAATATTTTTTGTCCAGTATGGCAATGCCCAATAAAGCAGCGAGATTAGGCTTAGTGCCAGTGTCAGGCTTACAGTGAAAGGTTATTGATATTATAGAAAAATAGAAGTAAATTCTGTGATGTTCAATAACTTTACCAGGCTATTAAAGGAAAAATGAATGAAATTGAATAGTATTTTGTTTTTCAGGTCTGATCTAATCTCAAGATGGGTGAAAGTAATGGAGATGGAGCACCGACAGTGCCTACAGATTTAGAAAAAAAGATCATTTATCAGATTGAGGTATAAACTTAATTTTTTTATTATGTAGTAACCTATCATTTGGACATGGCTGTTTCTCTAAAGAACTTAACAGGTTTGGCAAAAATTTATAGTGACAAAAAACTTCATATTGTTGAAAATTATAGATGAACGTTAGTTTCTCTGATTGCCTTGTATCTGTGATATATTGCTGGAGGCAGAAAAGTGTGAAAATCTTGGATGCCTGTCACTTGCCTCTGGCATTATATTAGGTTTAGGATAATCACTATAGCCATAAAAGTTTAAACAAAGGATCTAATAAAATCGATTAAGACTAGGTGTTAAAGTAGAATGTCAAGCTATTAAACCAGAAGCTTTTCATATAGAGGTTGTAAAGAGGTTTTCGATTTTGTTCACATTGGTTCGTGCTCACTCCACAGGCTACATTTCTTTACAGATTCTTTTGATTTTGTGTGTCAATGTCATTATGAAGATGATCCCTATCGATTTTCGTGATGGTCGGATAATTTTTTACTGAAATATCGTGTCTGACTTGACATTTCACTCTATTAGCTATATTGTGCAACTCGTGTTCAATCATTTCTGACAGCTGCCAGTGGGCGTATGTTATCTTGCCTGGCAAGCTTACTGACTACAAAATCAATTTTTGCTATTTCTATTTCAGTATTATTTTGGAGACATCAATCTACCCAAAGATAAGTTTTTACAGGAAAAAGTTAAAGAAGATGAAGGCTGTATCCTTTATTAACAATAAAATGGGTTTCATATTCTGCACAAATTAAAGAAATTTGTTTTTTTTTTCTTTGGCACAAACTTTAAATTAGTATTGCATGCTTCACCCTACGTCTTTTAATAAAATCATCAGATTTTTCCGTCATTGCACACTGCATGTCATTGTCTGTCTTCAGGAATCAAATATGGATCCTAGTAGGATGTACAAATCTCACAACTTCATCCATTGTGAATTATCCTTAACCACTTTTTAGTCGTTCCATTGGAAGTTCTTCTCACCTTTAACAGACTGAAAGAATTGAGTCCAGACGCAGAAGTTATAGCAGCAGCCATTAAAAAATCTGACAGTGGTTTGATTGAAGTTTCCATAGATAATAAAAAGATTAGACGATCACCAGAGAAACCTTTACCAGAAAATACCAAAGAGCATCGAGAAGAGCTTACTAAAAGAACAGTCTATTGTGTAAGTCAGTCAACAATTTTCTTGATAATCAAAACGATTCAACTATATAACTTAGTATCAAGAAATTAATAAGTTGCATGGGACAGGTTCGCCATTTTTTTGTGGTTGATTTGAGTCTTGAAGATATGTGAATAGTCTTCAGAAGTACTAGAAATGTATGGAAAGCACATAATTCCTTTATAAATATCTCAAACTAAGAATTTTACTTTTTATTTCGATAATGTCTTCAAGAAAAGACAAGTCTTCTTTTCAAACTTGGATAAATCTGGACACACCTGGATTTGAAGCCTGAAACAAGGAGTTGTGAAGACTATTACTGATGAGCTTAGGTAAATTATTCCTTTTACCATTTTGAAGACAATTTCGAAAATTTTATATAATGGAACGCTTTCAAAAATGTTTTTATACCTTCCCATTAAGACTTTTTTGTGTGGTACCAGTTTTCGTTATTTCATTTTCTATTCTATTTCAGAAAGGCTTTCCTGAAGATGGTACTTTTGACCCAATAAAATCTTTCCTTGAGAACTATGGTCCAGTGGACAGTTTATATTTACGTAGAAATGGTCAAACTTTCAAGGTTTGTGTATATGTTTTTTAAGCCTAGAAAATTTTAATCTCTGCTTCTTAGATAGATGTAATTGCTCTGAAAAATATATAATTTTTTGAATTTTGGAAAGTGTCATTGGGAAATTGTTATTAACCTATCACCCTAATCAATAAATAAATGTATCTGTTGTTAACTTTATCCAAATAGCTTCACTTGATGTGGTGAATGAGAATTTTAACCGTTCAAAATTACTTAAAAAAAGGGTTGTCTGTATCCATGCATTAGTAATGAATTTCATGTTTGTGTACAAAATTTACAAAACTAACAGTAATAAGGACTATTTAGAAGCGTGTTAATTGGTCGGTTTGAAAATCATGTGACATGGATATTTCTTATTTTCTTTCCTAATAAGCAGCTTTCCAATGAAATGCTATGTACAAATGTTGTTAATATGTCAATTTTTTTGTCTAGGGTTCAGTTTTTGTCACATTTAAAGGAGTACCAGACGCAGAGAAGTTTTTAGGAACAGAAACTGTGAAATATGGTGATAAAGAATTAATCAAACTCTCCAAGTACGTTACATTTCAATTCTGTTTTTTATACGCCCACATCTCTCTATGTGGACGTATATTGTCGGCACCCCTGTCCGTCCGTCAACATTTGCTTGTAAACGCTCTAAAAACTAGAATTTTTGATGGAATCAAATGAAATTCGTTTTGTGTATACATATTCATAAAACTTCGAATTTGAGCTATTTTCGACTGTTAGAAGCAGAGTTACTGCCCTTGCCCCAAAATCTTGAATATTTACTGTGGTGGGCGTATACGGCGGTGGTCCACTATCTTATATTCTCAAATCTCTGTTCTCGTGAATTGTTGACACGCTGATAGTCCATTATCAGTCCTCCATAGTTCAGTCATTACTATTAATAAGAGGGGAAAAGTTCAGTCCAAGTAAATCAGTACATGTGATCTTGAAAATACTGTACCTTTTTAAAGAGCACCCACTGTCACTCTATCTCACAAGATTGTTATTGTTTTTTTAACAGAAATGATTATTATAAAAAGAAAACAGAAGAAAAAAGAAAGTCAAAGCTAGAAAAGGAAGAAGCTGCCAAAGCGTAAGATTATTTGTTTAATATTTAGCTCTGATATCAATTCTGCCTCCCAATGGAACAGTATGGAAGCAGAAATCTCACATACAAAACCTATTTCTATTCTCTGCCATTTTTAATTTTCTGTCTGCACTTACTATTTTTTGTTCCAACCTGTTTTATTGAACTCTCTGTTGATTCCACAACTCACAAATCGAGCAGCCCCCTATGTTGATTTTAAAGATGGGTTTCCTTATTTTTTAGTTTCAAATGAAGCAAACTATTTGATTAATTGGTGTTCTAATGAATAATCAAGTATTCTTAATCATGTCATTATGTTCTTATTGGGTTTTAACCAATTATAAATGTCCATGTATGTACAGTCTGGATAAACAAAAAAGACTTTTTGACCTTTTTTGATCGGTCACTCATTGGAATTCTGCTGGTAATTCTCTTCTAATTTAGTTAATTATGAATTAATTATGGACATGTGAGACAAACTTGTATTTTTTCAAGTCATTAGACCACCTCTACTTTCTATTCATATAAGTATTAGCATTTTCATTTTCATAAATGAAAATAAGGGAAACCAACTTCAGAATAGCACCTTTACCTTGATCATTCCCAGGGGGCCATAGTGCCTAAGTGATTTAGAAGCTTGCCTTGCTAACCTGAAGGTCCAGGCTTCAATCCTGGCATGTGTTGAGATAACACCAGTCACCAATCATATGGTTTCGTCTTTTCACCAAAATCTCCTGTAAAAACTTATTCCACTTTATTTAATGATTTGATTTGTGTATTTCAGAGAGACAGCCAAAGAATTCCAAGAGGTAAGAGCAGTTAACTATCACACCTATCTCTAGACTGCTTAATGTATTCCTGGTCACAAATCTATTAGGGCTGCAAGGATTCCTAAAGTGGCGATCCGATACACTGAACGATACCCGTTTAACGATACGAGTTATTGGGATAATAAATCACGATTCTTTGATTAAAAGGGAAAGAAAAAGAAAACTGATAATTAATAACATTTTAACACAGTTTAAATTATTTTGGCACACTTAGAAGTACAAAATTCACTTTTCATCATTTGTTACACATAAGGACTAACAAATTTCTTCAAAAAATAAATAAAATACCAAACCGATCGAATACAGCTTTGTGGAATTATTTTATGACTATGCAAACACATATTACGTTGAAAAAAGAAAAAGTTTATATCAGATCCCACTTGGCATATTAATGTGTTCTCTTTTCTTCGTTTATAACAAAAATTAAAAATGCTGAAGACAATTATACATGAAAAGCAATTTTTTAAACATTTGAACATGACACAATTTCTAAAATACACGAGAATTCCGTGCTATTAGTCATTAAAGGGAGTTAATTATATTTATGAGAATCGGGCCAATGTATCGCGATTATTTCTTTCTTCCGCAATGCATCGATAAGAAGGAACGAATCGCAGTTCATCTATTCAGCGGTGAATCGTTGCAGCCATAATGGTTATGTATACTTATACTCAATATTTTAGCTAAAAATTGATATGAAGTTTGATTATTACAACCAATGTGCAAAGATTGACTAATTAGTGGCACTGCTACACTTTTTCACTCAGTCAGGTCCAGAAAGTTGGGTGTAAAGCTCCATTTCATTTCACTTGTGTTTTCATTACAGCAAATGGAGAATATGAAAGACAGAATAACAAAGGGAGCCATTTTAAATTTAGAAGGGTTTGGTGAAGGAATCTCAAGAGAAGATGTTCGAAATTTCTTTGAAGATTTTGCTAAAGTTTCTTGGGTTGATTATAATCCTGGAGATCCAAAGGTAAGCATTTACAGCAAATTTGAAAAAGGTTTCAGTTGTTCAGATTTGACTCAGTCTAATTAAAATTAGATCAAACTTTCGTTCCATTTGTTTATTAGCTTTTTTGTTTTTAATATAGCCACTTTAGTTACTGTCTAACAACGGGCCTCTTGAACATTCCTCAAATTAACCTATTGACCTAATATGATAAACGCAACATCACAAAATGCCAGCGATTTGATTAGTTAAATCAGACGTCATCTAGTCAAAAGGTTAATTTGGCGAAATTTTAAGAGGGCTGTCGTAAGACCCTAACTGAAGTGGCTACATTAAGAAAAAGGGAACGAAAGTCTGGTCTAATTTTAATTAGAGTGGGATAGGGCTTAGCATGTTACAGGTTTTTGACAGTTTGCAATTGAAAAAGTGTGGGCTTGTGTTGTTGTCCTGGTAAAATGTCCCTCATTACATACCGCATGACCTTGTTGGTATTCAGTTATTCGGATTTAGAAAAGTAGGATGTTAAACTTCATTCCAGCTTTCAAATGTATTCTTTCAGGGTCAAGTAAGATTCAGTGAAGAAAATCAAGCTCAAGTTGCTCTAGATAAAGCTAAAGAAGCTAATGGTGGTAAACTAGAAATAAATGGAACAGTTTTAGAAGGAAGAGTTTTTGAAGGCAAGATTATTGCTTACCTTGGAGACTGAACTTTTCTCACATGATTACCTTGGAGACTGAACTTTCCATACATGATTACCTTGGAGACTGAACTTTTCTCACATGATTACCTTGCTGACTGAAGTTTCCTCAGATGATTACCTTGGAGACTGAACTTTTCACCACATTATTACCTTGGAGACTGAACTTTTTCCCACATGATTACCTTGGAGACTAAACTTTTCTCCACATGATTACCTTGGAGACTGAACTTTTCACCACATGATTACCTTGGACACTAAACTTTTCCTAACATGATTACCTTGGAGACTGAACTTTTCACCACATGATTACCTTGGAGACTAAACTTTTCCTAACATGATTACCTTGGAGACTGAACTTTTCACCACATGATTACTTTGGAGACTGAACTTTTCACCACATGTTTACCTTGGGGACTGAACTTTTCACCACATGATTACCTTGGGGACTGAACTTTTCACCACATGATTACCTCGGGGACTGAACTTTTCTCACAAGATTACTTTTTACCGAATTTTGCCTCAAATGATTACCTTGGAGACTGAACTTTTCCTTAACATGATTGACCTTGGGGACTGAACTTTTCCTTAATATGATTACCTTGGAGACTGAATTTTTCACCACATGATTACCTTGGATACTGAACTTTTCCTCGTCATGACTACCTTGGGGACTGAATTTTTCACCACATGATTACCTTGGAGACTGAACTTATCCTCATCATGATTACCTTGGGGACTGAACTATTCTCACAAGATTACTTTTTACCGAATTTTGCCTCACATGATTACCTTGGAGACTGAATTTTTCCTTAACATGATTGACCTTGGGGACTGAACTTTTCCCAAAACAATTACCTTAGGGACTCTCCTGAACACATGACTACTTGGCATTCCAAATGATGAAGTGAGGTAAGGTGATTTAAAGTAAATGTTTTATGTTTGTTATTTTCAGGTGATGAGGAAATGGACCATTGGAAAATGATTTTTAACGAACGTATTGAAAGAAATAAAACAAGAAACGCAGCCAATAGACGAGGTCGTGGTAGAGGAAAGGTAGAACTGTAAAATTTTAATATAAGATTATTCAATAAAGGTTCAAACTTGATAACTGCCCTGCTTAAACAAAATGAGATCAAAATACATTCACAATTCAGCTGTAAACATTTTTTTTCTTTTTCAGTTTGGATCATATAAAGGAAAACGAAAAAGTCGAAATGATGGAGGTAAGAACATCCTTTTTATACGCCCACATCTCTCTATGTGGATGTATATTGTCGGCTCCCCTGTCCGTCCGTCGGTCCGTCAACATTTACTTGTAAACGCTCTAAAAACTAGATTTTTTGATGGAATCAAATGAAATTTGGTATGTGTATACATATTCATAAAACGAAGATCAAGTTCGAATTTGAGCTATTTTTGACTGTTAGAAGCAGAGTTATTGCCCTTGCTCCAAAATCTTGAATATTTACCATCGGCATGCCGTGGTGGGCGTATATGGCTGTGGTCCACTATCTTATCTTTGGCTGAAATAGAATCTTATCTTTGAATAATGGAACTAATTAAAGCTAGAAAAGGTGGCTAAAAGCACTGGCCTTGGCAATTAAGCTTGTCTTAATGTGAGGGAAATAGAACTAACTGCACCTGTGTGTCTTGCAAGCAATTATCAACATCGAGCCATTGCCCACTTCTTCCCTTGGGTAATGCTGTTAAAAAAAAATTGGGGATTATGCAGCAATTGAATATGCAAGGCTTATTTTGAAATATAGGTTAAAAACAGTGTTAAAGGTTTTCTAACCTGTGTTATGTGTAGCCTACTCAGGGCATAGAATCTATATTCCATTCTGATCTTCAATCATATGTCTGTGGTTCCTGCAATTCCACTACAATTAAGTGTTTATGATGTCACTGTTGCAAAGGCAAACAGTTTAAGTGGAATTGCAGGAACCATAGACATCTGATTAAAAATTGGAATGGTGCAAATTGATGCTATAAGTGTCCCTGATACAAATAAAAGATTTAGAAAACTTCTTTAAATTTCCTTTAAGAGAGGATCTTTTTTTTTATGCTTAGAATTTGATGTCTGATAATGAAATTTATTCTTTGAATCATTTTAGATCAACCAGCTGCTAAAGTCACGAAAACAGATTAAAGAAGGAATCAGTGTTCATTAATATCATGTGTATAGACTGACCATTGTTCTATTTATTAGCATGTGCTGTAGAAGAGGTCTATTATGTGCTGTAGATGAGAGGTCTATTATCATGTGCTGTAGGTATGAGGGCTGCTCTAGCTCTACATTGTATACCATGTTTAACACTAAGATAAACTGTTGTACAGCAGATATGGTTTACCAATTTTTAGTGCAACAAACATACACACAAACAGTTATGACTTCTTGTTTTTACATTTTTTAAAGTGTACAACACCATATCCTAAATATTTTGTTTCATTTTCTGCTGTGAGCTATTTCACTCAATCTGATTAAATGCTCAACAAAATAATTTTTAAATGGACCCACAAGAAATAAATGAAACAAATTCTGAAATTTTGATTAATTCGTTACAATATTTTTCATTACCATTTTAGCACTTGATTTCACCTCTTTCAAAAAATAAGATTTTTGATATATTTTTTAACTACTCTAGTTATAAAAGAAAGTTTCAATTCGAGAGTTGTAAGTGAAACTATATGAGGAATGGTGTAGAAGGATTATTGAGAAAAATGGGTGGGGTGGGGGAGGTGTAAATTTATGACACAATTCTGTAAATATTGTCATCATTTTAATTGTCTTGTCATATTTCATACCACAACATTTGTAAATAAACATTCTTAAATACATTCTACTCAGTATCTTACTTCATTTATTAGCTTTTACTGTTAACATAACCACTTAAGTTCGAGTCTAACGACAGCCCTCTGAACGTTCGCCAGAGATGCCATGGTTTGAGAGGGTAGAAATTCATCGATTTAAGTCATGTCCGATATGGTACAGGACAAAAAACTCACAATGGCAGGCGTAAAACTTCATATATTCCATAGTTCACATATCAATACTAGAACTGTGAACAGCTCCGAGCGTGGCAGAAACCTTATCCCATGGCTCAATTAATATTAAACATTCCCCTCTGTATACCATACGGTCTGAGGTAATATAGAAAATACTCCATTTCTTGCATGGCCAGTGGTCCAACATAATGAAACGTTATCGCATAGTTACTTAAAGATTCCATCCCCTGTAATGAGAAAAGAGCATGCTAGACAAATATGTCATAAGTTACAATGTACACGGAGAAGACAATAGCTTGTCAGACGCGATAACGTACGCATACTTTGGCTGCTTTCTATACAATTAATTGCTTTTTATAGAGATTGTAAATACTTTACAACTTACCCCCTGCGTGCTAGTAAAATTCGCATACCAGGTCATAAATTGTCCTAATATAACATGTTCTGGTATGATTGCATGGAACCGACTCCTCCCTAAGGCATCGGACGTCTCTCCGACTTTCACTCCAATACCACTGAGACAATTACCCATTCGAACGTCTTCTGCGCCTCTCATAACGCATTCATCTGCGTTCATTCCGTCTATAACCAAACGACGTAACGCTTCTTTACTGAGAACGTAGCCAGCACCACCGCTGTTGTAACCTTGATCTATATACTTATGAAAATGTTGTCCGTAATACACGGGGTCGTTAGGATTCTTGTCTAGTAAGAAGTAACGTAGATTTTCCAAGATGACGTAAGTGTCGTCATCAGCTTTCAGGAACCAATCAGCTTCGTAGTAATAGTTTTCAAATACATACTGGAAAGCTTTCATTGTCTTTTGGACCAGGTATTTCCTGCCTTCTGGCACGAAGAGACCAATGGTGGGGAAGGTTTGATTGGGCATCGACGTAAAGAACAACATGATGTTGCACCGCTTTCCCCACGTGGTTTTCACGTGTATGGTCTTGTTTTCCAGATGAGCTGGTTGTGTCAGAACCCAGCACAAGACTCGAACATTCTTGTACAGGATTTGCGCCAGTCTGTCGTCATCTGCTTCTGAAAACAAGAATGAATGTGAAGTGAAAAAGGGTGTTGATGATGATGTTGATAAGGCCGTCATGTCTTTTCCTTAGCCAAAAAATTACATGCTCTATCAACAAATTTCACAAACCTGTGTCTTCTATCAGTCGATGCTGTGAACTTGTAACTGGGTAACTAAGGTGTCCGGCTTGAAAAAATTCCTTGAAGTACCCTGCCATTCCAAACACTGCCGATAGTCCTATAACGACACCATACACAAAATAAGCCTTCGATGAGCTGTAGATAGAACTTCGAGTCATATTGAGGCTTTCGTGTTAGTTATTGGTAAGGCCACTTACAGAACTAGAATTTAATGCTCGTGAACATCCAAAGTCGTGTCATTCCAAATCGTGCCACGCGTTGAAACCCCCGCGATACGAACAACAAGTTGTCTTCAGAATAGACTGGCAGCTTCGCGTTTCCGTTGAGTTGACCACTGCCTTAGTAAAATACTGAGGATCGGTCACATCGAACCGTTTTCAGCTTTTCTTCCAATTTGAGCTCCTAATTTGCAGTAAGTATAAATAAGAAATGATCTACTGTGAAAGGGAACCTGTCACCAGGTATTGATACTTGATTGATTTTCAACACTTGTTACAATATACACATGTGTTACAATATGCACATACTCTGAAATGATCATTAAAGGAACGCTACCTCTTAGAATGAACATAACATTTTAGGTCTCAAACTTGGTTAACAAGTGTTTATATTCATCAATTGGACTTACCCGGTGCCATGACTGAAGAATAGAATCCATTTAAAGTATCCATTAAACTAAATTATTATACGTTATATATAGTCGAAGAATGTTATGTTTATTATTCAGCGCTACGTCACTGTCTCTCTGCACGTGAAGGGAGCCGCGGTGGTTCAGTGAGTCAATTCCGACATAGGTCGAGATAATACCTTCGGAATTTTCAACCCGGTTTCCCCCTGTCAGTGATGCAGGTAAGAGGGGCTGACATGGAAAAAGCGCCTTGTCGTTCGAAAGAGCAGGCTAATGCCGTTGTCCTGACAAAATTTCCCTCATTGCACCCTGCATGGCGTTGTCCGTCTTCATTAGCCACATGGTGCAGAAAAGTAAGACGTTAAACTCCATTCATTTCATTTCATTTCTCTGCACGTGAAAATTGTGTTTTGTTTACACGTGTTGTATACCATAACGTTCGACAAGTCAAAAGAAAGTATTGGAAGTGCTCGTGTTTTGAATCAACTACAAGAATTATAAGAAGATAGAAAAAGCATTTTATTGGATTTTGAAGCAAAATTGATGAGAAATTGCATACACATGGATTTCGACGGTGAGCTGTGAACACTTTTATTGATGAGCTAAGCTAAAAATTCACCTGACCCAAGAGTCTAAGATACAATAAAATTGGTCAAAAAATGGCCAACCTGTCTCTATAAAGACTGTCGGGCTCTCTCCAACTACCAAATACTACGACTACCAACAACTACCTAGTTTGTGATATCAGCATCCACTTGAAGCGAACGTTAACTTGTCATCTACCTACCTACCTACTGTCGGGCTCAATTGAAAATGCGGCAACTCTGTAGATGCGTCTTAGTCGTAAGCCTCTCATGGAGTGTCTGAGAGGGTTACGGAGTACAATAGGGACTGCAAACCATTTTGGATTTCCCTCACACCTGGGCCTAGCTTAAGGACTAATCATTTGGGTAAAGCAAATAAATTGGACAACTGTATCCCTTGAGTTAAACCTAACTGGAAAAACCACAGTCAAGGTGAACAAGTAATCTTAATCAAAACATGTTATTAGGTTATGAGATATTGAATTACATGTATTATAGGCAATTACTAGTGAGGGCCAGTCAACCGGCTTCGTGAGAAACTTGAGTATATTTCATTATTAGTAGATCAGGAAGTTTGTAACGGCTTTATACACAAATTATAAATAGCAAGAGACAAGTTTTTGCATATTTTGCAAACGGTGCATAAAAAGGCATTAACCTCCTACTTATTTCAAAATTGAAATGCACCAAATAAAATTAAGCCCAAAATAATTCTATTCTGTCTGAATAACTTTATCTTTTAATTTAATTCTATATTTTGTATGTATTACTTTATAATTATCTTAAATATATTTATTAATGACTGATTTAATACTAAACTTTTAATTCTATTTGTAACTCTTTTCGCCGCTCTTAAAGGGACAGATTCGCCGTTTCGTTCTTTTTTTTTTGGGGGGATATATGTAAATAGTCATTAGAAGTACTAGAAATGTACTTAAATTGAACTATTACTTCAAATACACCTCAAACTAATAATTAAAAATAGTTTGAGTATTCTAAACTTTAAATAGTTAGTAAAATAACGGAATAAGATGTGATCGAGATCTATTTTGGGTGTTTCTGAAGAAGGCAGTAAGCAGAAACGTCAAATAACAGGACACTAATATAATACTAATAATTTCTCTTTTGATTTCTATTATGATTATGTCTTTTCTATATATAACAGAGTAAAAAAAAAAAGACGAGTCGTCTTTTTAACTTTCAAACGTAGATAATTCTAGACACATATGGATATAGATTTTTTTTTAGATCATTTGTCATCAAAGATTTAGTATAGTGTGTGGTTCGAATGGAAAATAAGGTTTCAAGTACAGTACAGATATAAAGAGTTTCTTGCTGGTTGGTGCATACAATAAATTGAATTTGGTCAATGTCAATTCTCAAATTTCGTTTAACACCTTCCTAGTCTAGTTTCGGATTAAATATCTATACCGAATTGTTGTTCCCTAACCACTGAACCGCTAACTTCCTTGATTCACTTATTTTTAAAATAAATGTTATGTATTTGGTAGACCGAAGCGTCTCTCTCTATCCAGCCTCTGATAGCTATTTGGACAGTATGTCGGCTGTTAAAAATAGGCCATGTTAAATGGAAACTTTCCGCACCTTCGCAGGTGCTGGGGTTTTTAACCTATTTAGATACCCCAGATCTGCAAAACCTAAATATATTTGGAAAGATGAATATTTTTTTAGTTCAATCATACCATCATTTTCTCCCTACACATAGGACGTAAAACTCCATTCATTTTATTTTAATCAGTAATAATGTTCCCAGCTTAACGTGAAAATTTGAACCTTCAAATCGAAGTCTGTCTATAATTATCTATGTTAAAATGTGATCTCATCGAGTCGTCCATTTAACAGACTTGAATATTTGAAAGTATGAACAATGACGTCATGAGTTTACATTAAACTCAAGAGGATATCTTGGTATGTCAGAGACTATATCAACAAGACGTTCAAATTTCGGATACCCCAATTTTTTTGAAAGAAGATAGGCTTGTGAACGAAATAAATAAAAAGTGAAATTTCTTGTTTCAAGTTTTAAAGACTATGTACATATATTCATGGCCCAAATCAACTCCCCAAAATGTCGCACCTTTATCTTTATATTATATACATGTATTTTGTGATATTCAATATCAAATATCATCAGCTATCTTTATCAATTAGCATAAATCTTGACAAAGTTTCTTCAGAACATGATTTAAAGAAGATTCTAGTCAGATCGTGGATAAGAAAAATTATAATAACGAAACGCGCAGAAAGAAAACACGAAAGGCAAAGATTTGCATTAATAATATTGAAAAGAATATTTGACTACTTTATTGTGTGAAAATCGGATTCAGAAATCAATCTACTTCCTTGTTTGGTTGCATTATAAATATTTTGAGTTGACGACAACTTGCATAACTTATCAAGATGGCGGGGCTCATCAGATTAGCGCTGGTGATTTTATTAGCTTTGGTGGTCATTTCAAACGCTCAGTGGAGGGGGTACGTTATTTCTATTTGTTTTATTTTACTTTATTGTTTTATTTTTGTTATTTTTTCAAAAAAACTTTTTTATGGCTTATAATTACTTATAATAAGTTATATATTTCATTTCAAAGGATTTTAAATGAGGTTGCTTAACTTATGTTTGTGTATCTTCTATTTACACCATTCTGATTTTCTAGTCTTTATATGTGTATCAAATACACTTATAGCTTCTATTTACACCATTCTGATTGTCTAGTCTTTGTATGTGTATCAAATACACTTATAGCTTCTATTACACCATTTTGATTTTCTAGTCTTTGTATGTGTATCAGGGACACTTATAACTTCTATTTACACCATTCTGATTTTCTAGTCTGTGTATGTGTATCAAATACTCCTATAGCTTCTATTTACATCATTCTGATTTTCTAGTCTTTGTATGTGTATCAAATACTCTTATATCTACTATTTACACCATTCTGATTTTCTAGTCTTTATATGTGTATCAGAGACACTTATAGCTTCTATTTACACCATTCTGATTTTCTAGTCTTTGTATGTTTATCAGAGGCACTTATAGCTTCTATTTACACCATTCTGATTTTTCTAGTCTTTATATGTGTATCAGGGCCACTTATAGGTCCTATTTACACCATTCTGATTTTCTAGTCTTTGTATTTGTATCGTTAACACTTATAGCTTCTATTTACACCATTCTGATTTTCTAGTCTGTGTATGTGTATCAAATACTCCTATAGCTTCTATTTACATCATTCTGATTTTCTAGTCTTTGTATGTGTATCAAATACTCTTATAGCTTCTATTTACACCATTCTGATTTTCTAGTCTTTATCAGGGACACTTTTAGCTTCTATTTACACCATTCTGATTTTCAAGTCTTTATCAGGGATACTTATAGCTTCTATTTACATCATTCTGATTTTCTAGTCTTTGTATTTGTATCAGGAACACTTATAACTTCTATTTACACCATTCTGATTTTCTAGCCTTTATATGTGTATCAAATACACTTATAGCTTCTATTTACATCATTCTGATTTTCTAGTCTTTATATGTGTATCAAATACACTTATAGCTTCTATTTACACCATTCTGATTTTCTAGCCTTTATATGTGTATCAAATACACTTATAGCTTCTATTTACACCATTCTGATTTTCTAGTCTTTATATGTGTATCAGAGACACTTATAACTTCTATTTACACCATTCTGATTGTCTAGTCT